TCTGTCGCCATTTCTGTTAATATTTTTGCTGTCATTCATATCATCCACTTCTCCATCCGTTAACTTTTGAGGATATGCGTTAGAATAGCTGTTCTTAAATGAAGGCTTTTCACCTTTGAGAGCATAAACTCTATAACTTTCTGCATACTTTATGTTTGAACCTCCTGAGCCATCATTGACATAAATTTTTATAGGCTTCCACCCTTTGTTCATGTTCCTGCTTCTTCCCTTAGCTCTTTTGTTCAGTAGTTCTAAATCTTTATACACAGCTCCTGTCTCAGTGAATTCAACAATATTTTCATTCGTTAGCTTTACATTCAAACCCTTGTCGAGTATATTGTTCATTTCATACATATAAAAGGTTTTTATTCTATATGAAATGAGAAGCAAATCCATCTTAGCTGGTGCCGTTAATGTTCCAATTGAACCAACATCAAATGTTGACTCACGAACGACAAACAATATTGTCATAAAGAACTATAGTTCGGAGTGTTTGAAAGAAAAAGAACCAGAACTTAAGTCGGTGAATTTAAACTCAGCTTCAAACGCTAACGCTACATCAGATGTTAAGTTAGAGTATCCACCACTGGACCAAATTCTTTCAAGAGAAGCCAACGACAACCCTTACACAAATGTTCAAACAAATCCTTCAGATAACGTAGACCATTACCTTCTTCAGTTATACCAAACAATTTTACTCAAAGACGATAAGAAGCTTTGGGTAAATCTTATAAGCAAGAACCAAATAATTCTAACAAAGGAGGACCTTGAAAATGTTATATCACGAATAACAGGGAAACAATGTGTCATTGACTATCTCGACCCTGAAATCGAATGCTGTGGTCAAACGCCACCATTCATGAAAATAGGTAACATCCGCATTATTGAAATACCAGGAACTACAGGAGTTGAGTTTAAGTATAAATATTCGAATGAATATACAAAACTTTCAACAGAATATAAACTTTGTTTGAAATATGTTTTAGTAAATTAAAGCAATTTGTAATATCTATCCAAAACTTCTTCAACAGTATCGAACTCATCTTCATAATGCAAACCTAATCTTATTGACTTGGTGCAGTTTTCACTAACACAATATTTTTCTGTTCTCTTGACTGACATAACTAACTCATTTGTTTCATCAAACAGCAACAACCAAAGTTCATGACCTAATACATAACATTCATACTTTATATTTTTAGCTCTGAGTTTCTTGTAAGCTGTTGCATTTAATATTTTCTAAAAAGTCAACTTCAACAGTCATTCGCACTGGTGCCTTCAGTTCTACAGGCTCTCCTTGAAAGTCAACAAGTCTGAATTGCATGTCTTTCAAATTATGAGGACTAATGCGAACCCATTTACCTAAATGAGTTGCTATGACAGGAACATTTGGAATGAACATTGAATTGACTGCATAACAGAAGGATTTATATTCTACTGAACCTTTACTATTAACTCCTGAAATGCCTGTGACATTAGCTATTTTAGACTCAATGTATAAACAATTACCATAACATACGTATGGAACAGATTTCATCTCAATCGTTTTGTCAACACTTTTCAAAGGAAATGTCATATGGTATGCACCCAAAAAGAAGTTGTACTCTATGACTCATTCGTGTTATCTTAAACTCCTTCGCATAACTGAACTTCAAAACTCCTGCAATAAGTTTAACATTCATTAAGTTTTCTTCGTTATCCTTGTTTATTGTAGTATTTATGAGAGCATTTAACACTCCAGCTAATGTTTCCATCTTATATTCTACATTATTGTGAAATCTTATTTCGTGCTTCTTTCCATCTATTTCAATCTCCATGAAATCTGTTTCATCTGTTATAACGAATGAAGCGATAGCATTGAAGTCAACCATTCTGAATGCAAGCGCCTCATTCTGTAGACCTGAGTTTGTTTGTAGCTTTACTGTCCCGTATTCGTTTGGGTCTGTACTTTGCAAATAGAACAACATTTTATTCTCATTAAAATATGAGTATAGCTGCATATGCGTATGAAGCTGACAGAGCTAAACGTTTATATTTTGGTCAATATCTCACACTTACTGACAAATATATTGTTATCACTGATGGAAATACTGAAATACATAACATGGAAGGACTATGAAAAGTTTGACCCTATTTTAACTCCATGTACTATGCCGTTTATAAAGGACGGTGAAATTATTGAAAAAGATAATACAACCGTATATAGGTCTGTTTATGAAGCATTAGAATATATGTTGAATCATAACCCAAAAAGATTTGACCCAAGCACTACACCATGTGCAATGCCTTTTATTAAGGACGGTGAAATCGTAAGAGTTCCGGATTCAACGGTTTACACAGCTGTTCAAAACAGTTTACAAAACATTTTAGCGAATATCTTTAATTCAGAAACTACAGAAATAAAATTACCATATATAACAGATGCTAAAGAAATTAAATCAAAAACGACAACATTATTTACGTCACTTAATGATTTAATGACTTATATCATTAATATTCCTGCACCAACTACAGCATTTGATCCAAACTCGACGGTTTGCAGTGTACCTTTCATAAATGACAGTTCATTAATTGCTTTAAGGGATTCGACAGTAAATGAATCATTAAAGGCGTCATTAATGAAAATCATTGATTTTAACTCATTCACGAATACATATAATTCATTCATTAATGTTTCATATGCTTCTAAAGAAGGTGAGCCAAAAACTATCGATAAAGCGGTGTATGAAATAAAAGCATCAACGACGAAATTGAATTCGTTAACTTTTGACGGTGATAGTTTCGTTAATGACATAACATCGGGGAAAACAATTTTAACGAAAGAATACTTAAAATCTCATGTTAGTGAGTTCGTTGAAATTGAAAAAGAAGGTGGAATTAAGTTCGATCCACTGAATTTCATTTTCAGCTTAGCGAATGCGGGTGTTAGTTTCGCTGAATGGACAACTATACAGAGTGAAATAAATGCAATATGGACGTTTTTGGGGTCAAAAGCGGGAATGGGTGAGCTTGTAAATGCTGCAAGAACATTAGGTGAAACAGGAAATTTTGTAGATGGTTTTAAAAGACTTGTTTCAAATGTTTTAACAAACACAAAGAAATTATTTAGATATACCGTACATAACGGACGGATTTTCGAACAGATAGCAACAAACCCTCCGGTTATGGCTGCGTTGATGATGGTTAGAGATATAAAACCACGTAACGACGGGAACGAAGAACATGAACAACAGGATACTGGCCGGGTTATTCGAGACATTAAAAACGTGTATCCTGAAGTTATTGATTTATTTAGAGGAGTTAATGATTCAATTTCAAAACATTCTATAACCCTCGATGAAGAGAATAAATTAACAGATTATATATTCGTCATTATTGCAGAATTAATGAAGAGAATAAATGAAAAAGGAATTGGTGATATCATTAATGTCAGCGATGTAATGATGAAAAGAAATTTTGACTCATTATTTACAAAACCGAAAACAGAATATAGTCTTTATGACGTAATTACCGAATTAATGAAAAAGATTAATGATAATAAGAGTTCTGGCGGAAGAGTTGAATTAGAAGTGAATGAGAAATTAGCCGAAAAAGCAGACAAAAACGAGCTTCTAGCTCTGAGTGATAAAGTCAAGAACCACGTTCATTATATAACTTCAGACGAACAGATTATAACGAACTACCATGGATATTTAACACGAAGTGATGAAGCGAAGACAAAAAATGTTAATGAAAGAAGATATAAATACATTCGTGCTAAAGGTTATGACATAAGCTGTACTGTACAGTATGACAGCTAAAGCACCAGAAGCATTTGGTCATACCGATGAAATTTATGCTTCTAGTTTCAATGTTAACGGTGTATTAGTTGAACCAAGATTTACTTTGAGAGTTAAGGCAAAAATAACGTTTGAAGATGCTATTAAAAGTAAAGCTGACAAAGTTGAACTCGAAGCAATGAACAAAGTTTTGAAATCTCATAAACACAATATCTCCGATATAAATGAACTTCAAGCTACATTAGATAAAGCTGACAAGAACCATACACATGAATCCTTCACTACTGTTAGAGCAGACGACATAATATTGAACTATACCCTTGGTTCAAGTGCACCTTTAGAGAATCCAAGTACAAGCGTAAAAGATACACTAAACAATTTAGATAACAGATGTATGAACATTGAAGGTCATGCCAGAAACTTTGAAGCATACGAACTACCAGCAATGTTAGATAAGAAAGCAGATAAAACTTATGTAGATGAAAATTATGCAAAGAAGTCGGAAGTAAATGCTGCGCTTAATGGAAAAGCCGACAAGAACCATACACATGAAGAATTTCAAACAATCAAGATTAAAGAAATTAAAGCATGCATCGAAATAGTAACAAAAACAGGAAGAAACGGTGAAACTGTACAAGAACAAAGAATTTATCCTCCTACTTTTCCTAATGGTTTAATAACAAACAATATAAATATTGTAGATGGCAAAAGGATTTATAAATGTTAAACATGAACTTCAAACAATGAAGGCTCAGATTCTTCAAACATATATCCTATTGGCTCTATTTATACGTCAATGAATCAACAAATCCAGAACAGTTTTAGGTTTTGGTACGTGGGAACAGATTGTAGATAAATTCTTATACTGTGCTAACTCTTCAAAGCAAACAGGAGGTTCGAAGAAAATTACTGAAGCAAACCTTCCACCACACACTCATACAGGAACTACAAATTTTTCTGGCGACCATAGCCACTCATTAAGAGACCACCCATTATACAACTCAGAGTATGAAGCTGGCCATGACGTTTTATCTCCATCTTATAACAATGCAGCAAAAAAGATTTTTCGACCAACTGAACCAGGAGGAAATCATTCCACACTTTCACAACAAATCCAACAGGCTCGGGTGCAGATATATGCCACCATTTGTGACTGTATTCGCATGGTATAGGTTCAATGAACGCGCTTGAGCCTAGAATAAAATCTTTAACTTTACATAAATGAGCTTGAAAGAAGTATTCGAACAACATCCATGGAGGTCATTTAAGAAGTTCAATGAAGCTGCAAAGAGTTGGGGATTTACTAACAGAGCTGAAGTGAAAAGGTTCTTTGACAAAAATGTTGTACATCAAACAAAAATAAACCCTTACGACTACTTTTTACCAATTTACTCCAACACTCCTGACGCATACCAATTTGACACTCTCATTCAAAGCAGAAAAGGAGGACATAAACCATTCCTCATCTTCATTAATGTTAACACTCGTAAAGCATATGCATATCCAATGAAAAATAAAGGAACTCGTGAAGTGTTAAGAGTTTTACAAAAGTTTGTAGCAGAACATAGCCCAAGTACTTTAACATCAGACCAAGACAGTGCATACCTCAGCAATGAAATCACAGATTTTCTCATTAAGCATAACATAACTCACTACACTACTGAAGACCATAACCATAACATACTCGGCATCATAAACCGCTTCATAAGAACGCTCAGAGATTTAAACCAAGAGCGAGACTTTACCGAAGAAACAATGAAACATTTTCTCGAAGTATATAATTCCTCAACACATTCTACAACAGGACATACACCAAATTCAATGACACAACAACAAGAAGAAAAGTATATACAAAAGAAACGAAGCCAAACACAAAATATCAGAAATTCAACACAATTTACCCTCATTCCTGGTACAAAAGTTCGTGTAGTTCTTGACGACAAACCGTTGACAAAGAAACGTTTAAGGTTAAGTAGAAACTATTATATCGTAGACTCTACGCAAGGTAATGGATATCTTATAAAAGCTGCTGACGACTCTATTGCGTTTTACCCTCGTCATAAATTAGTCGAAAGTAGTAATGGCAAACTTGCTGAAACCATTGACGAAGCAAAGCGAGGAGTGGTTATTGAAATACTTGGCTACAACATAAACGATGACACTTATAAAGTAAGATATGAAGGAGGCGTTGAAGATGTTATACCATCTAAGAACTTGAGAGAGTCAAAGCCAACACATCTGGGACCATTAGAGCGGGAGTACTGGAAAGACAAAAATAAGCCAGAAAGAATAAGAAAATTCTTCTAAACTTTTTCATTAGATGTAAATCAGACATGAATGAGAACAGTCATGATATCATTAATGGTACCATTTATTTTTGTCATAAATTTACACCAAAAATATATTTTAGGTGAAGAGGTGAGATCTCACCCGTTTTTTCACCTCTTTTTTCACCCTCACCGCTTAGCAATTTTAGATGAATTTTCATGAATTTCCTTAAGATAGAAAAATAAAGTTAGTTTTATTTTTATTTATTTTTTTATTTTGTATAAAAGATATGATTTCAACAATCGGCACAACAACAATTCAAACAACTACAGCACCAAACTCGCTAGTCATGAATCCTACGTCAATGTTGGTAGAGATGAAAAGCTTTATTCCTTCTTCATATACTTTTGAAACAGAAATCCAGAAGATAAAGCAAGAACTTTTAACAAGTAATTTAGACTGTAGTGCGAAAGATGAAACAAATGAACAGTATCTTTATGAAATGCAGGACATTATTGACCATTTACCCAAATTGCCTGAAATCCAACAGCAAAAACTAACTATTCCTGAATTCGACGAAATAGAAGTGAAACCAACTGACTCAGTAGAAATAAAGAAATTCATACGTAAAGTAAATTATGAGTTTCTAGGATATCATTGCAACCATAAAGTTATGGACAAAGATTGCGACATGGTTTATAAAAAATTTCTGACATATATAAATCGGTGGAGTTTAAGACATACGATAACTTTGTTTCATTAGTTGCAAAATGTGTTTGGGAAATAAGAGATAAAGATAGAAGAGGTAAGGTATGGCATGAACAGTTAAAACCAGCAGCTTTTGAGTTAAAGAAAACCATTGACGCCTTAGTTGTTCTAGCTGGTTTTATTTCAATGTATAACGCAAAAATGAATCCGCAATGTTCAAAATGTAAAGCAGCAATAAGAAAATATAACTACTCAGTCAAAGAGATAGAAAGAATGCGAAACGACTATGCAGACTTAAAGAAAGAAGCAGAAAAGCCAGCAGAAGATAAAATGGATATGTTGACATTTCTGAACAAAAACTATCCAACTGCAGAAGATTTCCTTCTGTCTGACGTCAAGAAGAAATATAAAGAACTTTCGGCATGATTAAAACATTCGATGTACTAAAAGAAGAAATTGAAGCTACGAAATTGTTTAGGATTTCAAATATACATCGTACAATTCATGTAAAACGCTTGTGAAAAAAGAGGTGAAAAAAGAGGTGAAAAATTAGGTGAAAAAAAGGTGAGATCTCACCTCTTCACCTAAAAATTATTTTTATTGAATTCAGCACAAAAATAATGAATTTCATTAGTTAGAAAAATAACGCTAATTTTATTTTTATTTATTTTTTTATTTTGTATGTAAAGACAGTAATGACAAACATTGAGTTTGAAACAGTTAGAAAGATAGACAATGACACCAAAGTGGTTAGAATAGGTGATTTAAACGTAAGATACTCAAAGAAATACAACAAATATTCTTTGTCAGACATTATATCTCCATCTGGAAAGAAAACAAACGACTGGGTTAGAAATGCTTCAACTCAGAAAATTTTGACAAGAAATCCTGAGCTTATGATATCAGTAGCATTTCATGGAACAAGAGCATATCTTATAGACAAAAGTCTTATACCAATAGTTTTGTTATGGTTAGACCCAGTTGTTGGATATAACTTCATAACATATGGTTCATTCGATACGGAACGTTGCAGTGAAGGCTTACTTTACATCGTTCAGAAACCGAAGGACTTCAACACAAAAAGATATAAGATAGGAAGGACATATAATATAACTCAAAGATATGACAGTACAGTCAATAGAGTCAAGGTTGTGTTTGTTAATGATATGAGAGCTGCTGAAACAGAACTGCTTGAAGTTTTTGAGAAAATGTATGGTGCTCCCACGAAAGGTAAAGAAACGTTTGAAGTAGATGAGATAGATAAAGCTATAAAATTATTTGACGAAGTTGCTGAAAAATACATGTAAAGCGTTTATTTTTGGTCTTTTGTGAAAGTCAGAAAATAAAGTTAGTTTTATTTTTATTTATTTTTTTATTTGTATGTAAAGACAGTAATGTCAACATCAGAGAACACAACAACTGCTATCGTTCATGAAGCCATAAATGAAGAATACGAGTACATACAGTATAACAAACAGTTACGTCTCATTCGTTCAGTCAAAGATGACATGTACCAAATGCAAAGTATAATGAATGCTCTTCGTTCTACAAAGCAAGCATATCATTGGTTTGAAAACCAACAGACAAAAGAACTTTTAGAAGAATTTCCTCATATGATTGCTTCCCTCGGAAAACCGAGAGAAGAGATTCCGTATGAAAATCGCAAGAATTTGGCTCCTGGTTTGAAAGGTTATTATGTTCATAGACTTTTAGTAAACGCTGTAGCAATGTGGGCTTCACCTCGTTATGCTTGTTATATTTTCATGATGTTAGATGAACTATATAAAGCAGAACGTGGAGAGATGGAAAAGAAACTTCAAGCAAAAGATGAAGTCATTGAATCCAAAGACAAAAGCATACAGAAAAGAATACCGCGTTCAGTACCAAAAGGAAAGGAAAAGAGTTATAGTATATGATATATACTGAAGAATTGGAGAAAGAAGAAGATAAAGATATGGTTATGTTGCATTTAGTCAGAAGAAACAACAAGAGCTTTTATGACTTAGCTAAAATATATAAATCTGACAGAAACTGGTTCTATCGTGAAAACTTACCGATTTCAATGACACCGAATGAGCAAATAAAGGAAATTGTCAAAAATACTCTTCCTCAAACACACTATGACATCAAAGGTTGCACAATACTTACATTCAAAGAAGACTTAACATTACTGAAGGAAAAAATAACAGAATATTTCGATAACTTCAAAGAGGAAGAATGAAGTCACGACAACATTAACGAAAAGAGAATGAGGTGAAAAAAGAGGTGAAAAAACGGGTGAGATCTCACCTCTTCACCTAAAATATATTTTTGTGCTATATTTACACTCATTTACGAAGAAGTCATGAATCCTACGTCAATTATGTTCGACACTGATAACATTAACGATAACATAAACGATAACATTAACGATAACATTAACGATAACATTCATTTTTGCATTAATCCTGCTGTGTTGTCAAAATGTCATGTTGTCATCATTTTTAAAAGAAGTTAATTAACCTGGTGACATGGTGACGTGTGACACTCAGTTATTCAAAAATATATTTTTGCTTAAATAGCTTCAGGGTCTATTTCTTCAACCATTTCACTTCCTTCGTCAATGTCAATAGAAGCTTCTTCAACCTTTGGTAAGAATTTCTGTATAACATCTTTGTTCGTTATTGTCTTCAGAGATGAAGGATAATATTTCACATTTGTTTCACCCTTCTTATATTCTTTCTGTTCGGAAAGATTTAAAGCAATACTGAAGAAGTCAATGTTAGAGTTCTTTATAACAGTATAATGAGTATCTTTGACATTCACGAAGAAACTCTTTTGTTTCAAAACTACTGCTAACTCTTGTGAAGTATAACGTTTGCGGTCAATGACGATAGCTAATGGTCTGACATACTGACCAAACTTAGATTCTTTCACAAACTTCTTGTTAAAGATAACATTAACATTTGAAGCATTATTGAACTCATTCTTGATGGCAGTAGCGAGAGCATTGTATGAAAAGAACTTGCAATCTTGCATGTGTTTCATTAAAATAAAAATATTAAATTATTTTGAAAAATAACTTTAATATTTTTATTTTAATTTTTTCAAAAATATTTTTTTTATTTCCTACTAAAGATGTACGGAAGTTGTCTAAGTTAGAACACTCGGAAATAAAACAACTTCTTACAGAAGCTAACATAGAAGTAGCAAAACATTACGCAACAAAAAAAACACTCGCTGACTTCATTAAAGACTATAATGGTGAAATAACTTATGATAGAATTCATGAGTTCATAAAGCCGCAACGCGGCGAGGACGAAGTCCATGCAAGAGCATTTCCTTTAAATGACATTGCTATTGACTTATATCATAGACGTTCAGTACCTCATGATGAAGTAAGAAGAGAAATGTTTGACATAACAAATGCAAACGTTGGTGAAACAAGAAGAAGAGAACACACTGAAACAACAGAGAAGAGAGATGTTTAAGAGCGCTATAGAAACAAGTTCGCAAAGCTAACGATGTCATTCGTTCCATTGACGACAAACCAAAAGAAGGTGAGAGATGGTTAAAGAAAGATGAAGAGAATAGGAAGAGAAATGTGAAGTCAGGCAATAGACTCATTGACTTTAACATCGAAGCTTTAGATGAACCAAACAGAGACTACTTACACAACATTTCGGTAAGGTTTTCATGAGACTCTTAGAGAAAATTAAAATAAACTCACAACAGAGATGGATGGTATGTTATAAACTTGGTGGAAAGTATGAATGTTCTACGTTAAACCTCAATAATATTGGAACATTACTACATCAGCTCTTGAAGGAGAACTTTATATCAGAGATAGAAGCAAATGCTGCAGGTATTGTTGAAATGCACTATGACTTCTTCTTGACAAACATAAAGAATCTTACCGAAATAAAGATGTATGATTTAACAGAATATGAAGGCTTAACGATGTCAGATGTAAAGAAAGGCAAACCAAAAAAGAGACCATATAGAGATGAAAGCACACTGACAAATGACCAGAAAGCCATTTTGGAAGCTCTTAAGCAAACAGGAAACCCAGCACTTATAGAAAGCTTTTGGAAAGATAATGGTGAAAAGAAGTTTTATAAGAAGAGAAGCGGTCAGTTCTGGAAGTATCTTTGCACATTACCTATAAATCTTGAACGCTACCAAATCTTCAATGAACTGAACAAAAGAACTGCAACACTTATGACAGAAGACAATTGTTTTGTTTATGCTTGCATTCAGGCTGGAGTAGATGAAGAAACTATTGACCACATGAGAGAAGTCATTCGTGTTAGAGACTTTCCTCAAAGTAAAGTACAAGAAATTTCTGACGCAACAGGTATAGCATTTAATGTTACCATTGGTTACTTCAATGACTCAAGACATAATGAAATAAAGAGATACATACCAAAAGAATGTGAAACTGTTCGAACTATTGACTTACTTCTTGTTGAAGACCACTACATGCTAAACGAAAGATTACCAATGAAACATATTTCATTCGCAACTATATAGAAATCTTGAAGGAGTGTGGTGGAATGAACATTGAGAAACAGATGAAGATTTATACAAAGAGAGAGAACAAATATGTAGTTCGTTATGATAGAACAACACCGTTATGGGATGTTATGAAAACATTGTGGGAGTGCAAATATTTCGAACCTATTTCTTATGGAGAACTTTTCACATATACTACTGACTTATATAAACAGAACCTTGCACCATTTAAAGATTTGACATATGCTCCAAAGTATTGTGTACAACTGAAGAAGAAAGCCGAGTCAAAAGAAGTAAATAAAAATAAGTGCAAGTTCATTCCTGAGCACGTTTTCTTTGCTGACTTTGAGTGCAGTACAGATGGCTTTCATAAAGCTTTTAACATATGTTACGACAGTGAAGATGGTTCAGTGAGTGAAAGCATTTGGGGTCAGAATCGTGCAACAGAATTTTTGGAAAGACTCCCTGACAAGAGTTTAGTATATTTTCACAACCTCAGCTATGACATAAACTTTATCTTAAGACACATGACAGAAGTGAAAGGAACTCCCATCATTAAAGGTTCACGAACAATGCAAATAACTGGTTTATATAAAGGAAGGGCTATTATTATAAAAGACTCTTACAGTGTTATAAATAAGAAGCTTAAACTATTTCCTGCTATGTTTAACTTACAAACAGGACCGAAAGAAGTATTTCCTTACAACTACTACAGCAGTACTTTGCTCATGAATGACAACAGAACTGGTGTCATTTCTGAAGCATGTAAGTTTGTCAAAGATGTTGAAACATTCATGAAGAACATAGATTCCATCAAAGGTTGCAGAATAGATGAGAACCACTTCGACTTAGAAAAGTATAGCACATTTTATTGCAAACAAGATGTAAGAATTTTAAGAGAAGGTTTTGTTAAGTTCCGCAATGACATATTGAAAGAATTTGATTTAAACGTTTATGACTACGTTAGTATTTGTTCAATTGCTAACAAATTGTTTGAGAACAGAGTGTACTTCCCGAATGGAAATTTATATGACCTCTCAAATAAACCAAGAGAATTTATTTCACGCTGTATTCAAGGTGGAAGATGTATGCTGTCAGATAACATGAAACAAAAGAGCGAAAAGAAACTCATTGCTGACTTCGACGCTGTTTCATTATATCCATCAGCTATAGCAAGACTTTATACTTTAGAAGGTATACCGAAAGTATTGAAGAAAGAAATGTTAAGCACAGAGTATCTCATGAGACATTTATTCGATGACGACCAAAAGGAACCCATTGGTGAAAAGTTTATGTCTGGCTTCTTTGTTCTCATTAAGATAACAGAGATTGGAATACATAGACACTTTCCTTTAATAGTTTGTGACCCTGAACTAAATCCAGAACTTAACGTTCCCAGAAGTTCAAACACTTGCTGTTTAATGTATGTTGACCATATAACATTACAAAACCTCATAAAATATCAAGGTGTCAAATGTGAAGTGTTGCAAGGATACTATTACGATGGAAACAGAGATATTAGAATAAGAGATGAAGTAAAGAAGTTGTTTGAGTTAAGGTTAAAGTATAAGAAAGAAGGAAATCCTTTGCAAGAAAATATAAAGCTCATTCTGAACAGTATTTATGGCAAAACTATTCTATCTCCTATTGAGTCAAAAATAACCATAGTAATGACAAAGATGCTATAAGATATGCCATCAGAAACTACAACCATATAGTGAAGTTCGAAGGTTTGGATGGTTCAGATAAAACTATTTTCAAGCTAACGAAAAGCATTTGCAGACACTTTAACTTCTGTCCACTTGGTGTTAACATTCTGTCTATGTCGAGAGAATAATGTGTGAAGTATTCTGTACTGCTGAGACTTAGGAATGGACATCTTTTATAGCGATACGGACAGTATGCATCTCTACAATGAAGATATCCCTCGTTTAGCTGAAGAGTTTGAGAAACGTTATGGAAGAGTTCTCATTGGTAAAAACCTTGGTCAATTTCATAGCGACTTTGCAGAAATCACACCTGTAAAACAAAGTTTAGCATACAAGTCAATATTTTGTGGAAAGAAGACCTACATAGACTTACTCACTAACGATTTAAATGAAGTTGCATTTCACTGCAGAATGAAAGGCGTGAAGCAAGATGTTATTGCTTTAACCGCTAATGAAATGTTTCCTGACTCTGTTCAGTGTTTCTATGATGAAGATAAAGGTTTAATGGTTCCGCAAGGAACATATGACAAAGACTCTGAGTTCAGTTTAATGAAACTTTACAAAGCACTTTATGACGGTCAAGAGATTGGATTTGACTTATGTAAGTTCATGTCAACCTTGCTTTGAAGAAAGTTTAACTTCTCAATAACGACTAAAACAAGCTTTATTCGTAAGTTGAAGTTCTGAGGTCATTTATTTTTGTCAGCAATGAGGTCATTCGTGATAAAAATAAGCCCATGTGGTCATTTACAATACTGCGATGGTAGAGTTTAAGAGTTGTGCTTCAATGTAGAGACAGTCCTTATGGTCTGGAGGTAGCAAAACAGGTGCTTTATGGTCATGAGTGGAGAAACATGTCTATCCAAAACTCACGACTGAAGCCAGTTAATTATAGTATTTAGGGTTAGGAAGTGGTGAAGTTCTTGTATGACCAATGAACTCATTTTCAACTCCTTACTTAAGTTTGAATATAATATAGCTTGCTTTCTATCCCAAATACCAGGTGTTACAATCTTTGAAAATTCATTTTTCCTCGGAAGCATTGCATCATAATTGAAAACATTCTTGAAATCATCACTTGGTTCAGAGATTTGAAATCTTATACGTAATGGATTTTTCTTTCTCTTTAGCGACTTCATTGAATGGTGAGAATACAACAAACTGACAGTCATGAGTTCCATCTTCATTTTCATTAAATTCATAATGAAAGTCTATAAGTTGTGGCTGACTACCTTCTTCTTTCAGTTGTGCAAGAAACTCACGTAAAGGCTGTAAAGTTTGTACTTCAATGTTGAACTTTTTCTCGAACATCTCATTAAATGAAATCATACATTGCAACAATGTTGTATCGTCTTTAAAGTATTTGTATATGTGAATGTTTTGGGCGCTTAAAGACTGTTCGTCATTTTCTATCTCGACTTGAAGTATAAAGTCAACCTTTCTGAAAGCACGTGTTATATACATAGATGTTATGCCAATGTACTTCTCTTCATTTATGTTCACAATCCAGTCTGTTGGAAACTTAAACGTTACTCTGTTCCCCTTTATTTTGACGTCAGGGTTTTCACTACTGAACGCAACAGATAAAGGTATTTGTCTATACATTTAATTCGGATAAAAATAAACCATTTACTCTTTCTTTGCTTCAGCTTCTTTAGCTTTTGCTTCAGCTTCTTCTCTAGCTTTCTTCGCCAGCAAACGTGGTTCTTTTGTCTTCCAGCAGCTAATGCAGCAAGTTGTTTTTCACTAAGTTTTCTCTTTGGTCTCTCTGGCTTTTGTTCTTGTTTTTGTTCCTTCAGTTCGGATAAAATTTGCTCACGAATTTCTTTCTTCAATGCTTCAACATCTATGACCCCTTGGGTCTTGTCCGTAGGGCTTGTCTGAGTCATTTGACTGCAGATAAAAAACAAAATTAAAACTTTAACCGATGTAAAATGAGCTTGTCAAAATCAGAGCGAGAGTCTATTATATTAAATGACGCAAGAGGAATACAACATCCTTTCTATTACGTAAGTCAGAGTAAAGATGGTAAAATATACGTAAGAAAAAGAAAGGTTCCATTAGCGAATGCAGAGAGCGACAACATTAAGGTGTATGGCAAGGGTGAAGTCCACGAAGCCCATATAAAACCTTCTATTCAAACTGAAAAGTCAATAGAACAAGAAGAAAAGAAGCCAGATGTACTTTCAATAACGAACCAAGAGCTTATTGCAAAGTTCGTGAATTTCATTGAAAAACAAACCGAGTCAAAGAATCCTGACCCACCAGTGAAAGAAGTTGAGACAAAAGAGAATGTACAGTTCATTGAAAATGTCAAGAAACAACTTCCACCACGAATGCCAAGAAGAAGAGTGAGAATAATGAAGTAAATAGATATTTTTATCTGAAGTAAATACATGCAGAACGAACAGTTAAACGAATTTACTCCAGCAGAGCATATTCATCAGATTCGCTCATATTTCGATATCATAGACAATGCAGTTCAAATTGGTGACACTAATAGAAAATATTCTGACGCAAAGATTCCATCACAACCTGGAACTGCTAAAGATAACACATGGGTAACATTCAATCTCTCACCTCCTGGTGAAAATATGTTGGACCTTTACAATACATTCATTACGTATAAAATGGAAGGTCAATTTATTGTAGATAAAGAAATTGGTTCAGGTTCCAATAAAACAAACCCACCAGGATTTTGGATTGGTTTCGATGACGCTTTCTATGCAGTTGCTGGATATCAAATCCTTGCAAATGGTCGTATCGTATATTCTCAAGACAACGCAAGAGAAGAAGCATATATAACTTCAAACTCACAAACTACCGAACAAATAAAGAAAGTAGATGTTTTCTCAAAGACTCGACATGAAGATGTATGGAGTCATTCGGGAACATGCAGAACAGGACAAATTGTTAGTGGTCCAATTACAGCAGGAAAATCATTTGATTTTAAGCTTCGTTTAAGAATTCCTGTTAGAAGATTCCTTCCATTAGAAGCTATTCGATTTATTCCAGCTTTTGCAGGAAACATTCAGCTTAAAGTAAAGTTCAGTAGCGACGCCTTACAATGCACATCTATATCTGTAAATGATATCATTGCTTTCAATCCAACTCTTAAAGTTGCATTTGCTTCAGATTCAAATCCACCGACAAATAAATTTGTTCCATGGAATGAACCATTCACTATGATAACGAAGTCAGTAGAAGCTAGTGGAACAGTTACTATTACAACTGTAAACCAGCAACTATTTCGAACAAAGATGTATTTTAATGAATGTTTCATTCATCCAAAGTCATTCTCTTTAGACCCTAACATTTATACAGAACTTGTAGAACATTATACAAACGAGGCTTTATGTTTTCCTGTTAAAGTTATGGATTGGATTCCTATGGACGGTTCATTCTCAAAGAATACAGATAGTTCAAGTGCAACATTTACAGCAGCTTATACGCCTATTAATGTTAAAAGTATTTGGGCACTATTTAGAAAGAAAGACAACTATTATGTTAATTTTGAGAACCCTAAGTTTAAATATCTTCAGCTTTCCATGGAAGCTTATGGAAATATGCCTGCAGAACCCGAAAAATCATATGGACCTGTATTTTATGAAATGGTTGCGAACGCCTGCAATACAAACAATGATATGATAGGATTTAATGAAGATGTTATGAGGTCATTGGTGGATGATGGTAGTGTGGAACATAAATGGGATAGCTATGACAACACACATTTCTTATGTGGTTTTCCAACTGAAGTGGACTTTTGCTTCCAGCAAGGTCAAACATCTACTGCTCCAATAACATACAAATTGTCTGTTAAAGGACCTATTGAACTAGCAACTGAAAACGTACCAAAGCCACTTATTGGATTTATGAGGGATTGTTGCTTTGCCATTCAGGTGCGTGCTAATGGAATCCCAATAATAAGATTAGATGACTATAACTTAGCTACGGACGACGGTGAGGAATAAAGGATGAACGTTTATTTTTAAAGCTTATAAATGAGTTCTTCATCAAGCTCTCGTGAACCTTCACCATCTGTGAAACAAACTTTACCAAACGATTATGGAGCACCTATTGAATATTTCTTACGAGCTGCACAATGGCAAAGAGCAGTCTCACCAAGGTTAGGTGTTCCACCAGCTCCTGTCAAAATAGCATTTGGTAAAGTCCTTATATAAGATATGGTCTCCCACTAGGTTTGCTAGCTACAGCAGGAGCAGTTATGATGTTGAAAAGAAATAAAGCAAATGTTGTAAATAATACTGAAGTAGCTGAAGTTAAACAAACTCCAACACCTTCACAAGCAAAACCTTCAATGACTCCTGAACCTATGGAAGTACAAACTCCTGTTCAAAAGTCAACTCCTAAACCGACTCCAACATTTAAACCAGAACCTACTCCTCAAATAAATCGTAAAACTCCTGCGTTTCCTTACTGAAAAAATAACGTTATTTTTATTTAATATTAAAATTTTTATTTGATTGAAATGACGACTAAAGTCACTGAAGCAATGAAACAAAAGTTTTTGGTAGAATACATTAAATCAGGAACTATTCCAGAAGGTTTTTACATTCATACTATGAAGGATGGTAGAGTTCAGTTTAGAAAGATAAAGCAACCATTAGATAAAGAAGGAATTTTGAGAAAGATTAAACTTCATGAGGACAACATTGCTAAACTTAGGAAGAAGTTAGAAGAGTTGGAGAAAGGAAGAGAGTTATAAAGCAATGAATTCAACAGGGTGAAAAAACAGGTGAAAAAAGAGGTGAGATCTCACCACTTCACCTAAATATATTTTTGTGCTATGTTTTCATACGTGTGAGGGTGGTGATATCATTAATTTTTAAGTTTATTTTTTATTTTATTTTTATATAAATGACGAAAACTATTGAGATAACAAACTACAACGGTCATGAGTTCAAGAATTTGTTCTTCGTTCCTCGTGAAAATACATTCTATCAGATACGAGGGAGAAAGGGTAAAGTTAGTTTGAGCGTTTATGACAACAAACATAATGGGAGATATATAAAAGCAATAGATACAAACGGTAAACGTGTTTCATTAGCTTTGTCAAAACTTACTAACATTTATTTTGACAGTGATTTTGACCTATATGAAGAAGAAAGTGAGTCAGAAGATTATGAGCTGTTATGTGAAGCACAGCAATGGGAGGAGTTGCAATACTTTTGTAAGTGAGAACGTTTATTTTTACATTAGTGAGGTGAAGTGGTTGGTGGCTTTGTAAATATTTAAGGTTAAGTTAGTGTTGTCGTTTGTGTTGTAAAATATACGTTAACGGTTTTGTAAAGTGTCAAATTCACATATAATGGGTACGGTGGAACGCAGTGCCTCTGTACCCTTGATATGTATACTAACTCAGAAAGGTTGGGATGTAGCACGAGATGCAAGAAATCTTATTCCAAATCCTGAAACAAGAGGAAAAGTTCAAGGATGGATGGACAATGTAGGAAGACAAGCAGGAAACTATTATAACAAAGCAAATGACTACTATAACCAAGCAGGACACTATATGGACCAAGGTGAAAGATTCTTTAACAGAGGATATAACCATGCACAACAGTGGGTAAACAATAACCAACCTCAACCACCTCAAACGTGGGGAATGTAAAGTTTTTTATTGAGATGAAATGAACAATGCAGCATTGAGACAAATGAGTTCAAGATGGATTTGTCGGCTTCCAGCATTTAAACCGATACCATATAGTCAGGCTCAGCATGTGAAACTGAATGATATTATTAAAGGAACCATCCCACCTCCACAACAACAACCAGTTGAAAACAAACCAAACTAAAATTTTTTACTGAGATGAAAATGGCCGAAGAAGTTGAAACGGTAGATTTGACACCACAAACAAAAGTTCAGAACCATTGTCAAAACCTGTCCAAAGAACTTACAGATGAAGAGAAAAATTCAATAATAGAAAGTGCCAGGTCTGGAAATACAAACCTAACTATAAAGTCACTTTTCATAGAAATGGAACGGCTAGTATCTCAAAAAGAAACAGACTCTCACAAATAAAATATTGAAGTTTGAAGGAGCTTTCGAGACAACAGATGGAAAAGTTTTACTTCACTGACCAACAGTTCATTATAGAACATCTCATTGACTTAGAGTCGAAATATTCTAAACTTTACAACAAACACAAAAAGTTGAAAGGAAAACAAAAACAAATGGCATATGATATTTATGAAATGTTGACGACACAACTGTTCCTGCAAGTGAAGTAAAGTCAGAGGAACGAAAAGTGACGAAAAACCGATAGAAGAAGAAAAACCAAAAACTGAAGATAAACCAAAAACCAAAGTTTAGTTTCCAAACTAAACCAAGTCAACCTTCATTAGCTGGTATGGGTTGGCGTCAAAGACTTATGGCAGCAGGCGGTTATGTAAAGTAAAGAAAAAAAATATTTTTTTATTTTTATAAAAATGCCCCCATATAGAATGGATAGAAAGTCTGCTAGAATAAAAGCAGAGTTTACAAAGATATGGTTGGAGAGTTTCGAAGAATTTTATAATATAGGAAGGGAAGACCCATAAAAGTCTATGACAAATTGTCTGGTCTTCGCTACGAAATGGATTTGGAAACAGCACGTGCCAATTATCCAAACAGACTAGAGAGGTTAGAAGAAGAACGTCTTATGGACATGCCTTTCGATGTTAGTGAACCTCAAGTTGAAGGACACGACGGCTTTGCCAGATTCTACTGGAAACATGACGAACAATTGCATCCTTTGAGAAGGAAAAAAGGAAAAGGTGAAGACGCACATGCTCCCATGGAAAGAACAAGATATGCATATGAAAAGTATCGTGAAGTTAGAAGTCAATTACATCTGGTCGAACCTTTACAGTAAACTTTGACGAAGGAAAGAACAAAGAAGGCTTCATGGGTGTACTTGCTGCAATTCAAAGACGGAAATAAGAAAGGACACAATCTCAGATTGACATAACAGATTTGGATGGTCACATTTACTATGCACATGGCAATGAACAAACAGCCGCAAAACTTCTTGACGCTTTCAAGACTACAAAGAGAGAACAAATGGTTGACTCCGACTCAGACATTTTGAATGCAATTGAAGGAATTGCAAGTGTCAAGTTCGAATGGTACCAACCTAACCCTCAAGCAGTCAGACAACATGCTGGATACTTCCCGTTTATAAATAAGTCTGACATTGACTTGACAAGGTATGGAATTTACAATTCAATTGAAACAATTGTCAACGTACCTTGCATTCTTACATGTCTCAGGAACTCTGGTCTTGTTACAGATGAGAAGATGAAGTATCCTGAGTCATGTGTGAAGACAAGGTACATTCTCAGAGGTCAATTGGCAAAAATTGCACCGTTGGCAAATGTCAATATCCGAGTCAGCATACCTACAGCTAAAGGTTCTTCACATGACGACTATTGTTGACAAAGACTTACCATGGTTGAAGATTGTAATTGTCCACAACCACTTCATGTTGAACGAAAGTCTTACAAACCCATTCTTTGGTAAAAGTAAGTGCAACATTGTCAGAGCTGTAAACATTCTTTTCGAGAAAGGTTTGTTGGAACCAATTCCAGATGACAAGCTGACAGAAACTTTTGTACCAAAAGACGAAACAAACTTTTTATTGTTAGCAAGACCAAAAGTTTTCCAGACAAAGTTCTAGTACAAAAGAAGTACACAGTTCCACAAGGAGTGGTATGTTCGGATACCAACCTGAACCAGAAGAACTTCCAATGAGGTTGCAAGAACTTCAAGATGCTATAAATAAACTTCCATTGAGACATCCAATTGACGTCAAATTGTATTGGAGAGCATCTGAGTTAGGTCAGAAGGTTTTATATGAAACAGGTTGCTTCGACGATGTTTATGAGATAACAGGAGAAGTTTCTCAGAAGATAAGAGACTCACTTGAATTTCCACAAACTGGACCAATTGGTTGCCACAAGTTCGACTCAAACAAAAAGATATACTATGTCGACCTTAACGCTGCATACATGAGGTTTGTCCAATATATTCCGACTGGAATTCCAAACGAAGATGGTGAGTTCCCGGGAAGGAACTATACAGTTGGAAAAGTCATACAACAACTGTATGATATTAGGAAAGCTTCAAACCCCAAACTTACAATGACACTCAAATTGCTTATGAATTCGACATGGGGATATTCCATTAAGAAACCTCAAGAGATGAAGAGTAAACATTATGAGAAGGTCGACAACTTTGTTGAAAGGTTTTCTCCTTTGTTTTGAAGTACGAATTCACTCAAGGTCAAAGTGGCTTAGTAACCACATTAAAACCTATTGTCGAACATTGGTCTTACCTCAGTTCGCAAAGGCAGTACTTGACAACTACAACAAATTCTTCTCCGAAGTCAAATCCAAAGTGAAGGTTTACTATGAGAACATTGACGCACTCATGACGAACGAAGAAGGCTATAACAAACTCATTGAAATGGGTTTAGTCGGTGAAAAGATGGGCTGTTTTTAAGCTAGATAAGGTATTTTCCGAAGTTCATGTAATATCGAAAAGGAAATATTGGGGCATACTTGAAGACGGCACAGAAATAAAACATTGCATGAAATAAAAATTATTTTTTAAAAAGTGACATTTTTTATTTTATTTGAAATGTACGCTGAGTTTGTTGGAGAAGACCGTTGGGAAACTTGTTTGTTAGATGAGAAATATGAAATGGCATACCATTTTAAAACAATATATTTTTACATATATTAAATGCTTCAGGTTGAAAAACAAAGAACAAAAGTAGCAGATACAAAACCGTTAGATTATATCTTTACAAATGCTGGTAGGACTATTTCAGATGAAGAAATTTCATCCCGAGCATACAGGTTTGACTATCCAATTCGTTGGCTTCAAAGTCCTTCAGATGCAAAGGCAATAGGATTTAGAAGAGTTTTGTTTTCAAATAGAACTAACGCATTTATGTTCGCAGTATATTTTCATGGGCAGTATGAAGGTCCTGATGGTCTAATAGACAAATTTGACGAAATGAGAATCTTTACAGTTCGTTCAGACGAAAGTCTTGAGAAAACTCTAGATGACTTTCAAACTCAAATGAACAAATATTATTGGGAATTTCAAGAAAAATACGACTCTTTACTAAATGGAACATACTATCTGAAACTAGAATATGACAAGATGAACTCCACCGTTTCATTTCAAAAGATTGAAATTAACCCTCCAAGAGATACAGAGTTTTTATTTTGGGAAGTAGACAAACGTTCTTGGGCACAATTTCTTCGGTTACTAAACCAGAACGAACCATTACCACCAGATGGTCCATTTAAATTTATACTTCCACCAGCAGATTTGATGGTTTATAGAAACGTGTTTGACCCTCAAAATGTTATGTGTCATGCAAGTTTCAGTTCAAGCAACAATAGTTTTCTATGTATTGGTAAGGACCTTTATGACTTTGCTTCTAAATTCTACGAACCACCTAGTAAAAGTTTCTCTGACTTTCAAGTTTGGTTCACAACAAATGGTGTGCAACATATTATTCCATTGTACTATGACTTTTATCTCGAATTGTCTTTCATATATAACTACGGAAAAGTGCTGAAAAAGTATTGAATGTGAAGATATTAGAAAATAACATTTTTTCTCACATCGTAGAAAACTCATGAAAACAATTTATTTTTGACACTTTCACAAAAAACATAAAAAAGTGAGTTAAAATGAGATGTTTACTGAACTGGCTGAATGTCGCCTTCTGTAGTTATAAAGAATGGTTGACCATAGAAGTGAAGGAGAGACTGAATTGCCAATTTCATATGGGGTAGGGGGTTCTCCTTGATTGGTATTTTTATCCAAGGACGTTTGTTTAGGAACTTAACAAGAGCTTCTCTTTTGGCGTCCTTTATGCCATCGTAGGCTGTCCCGTCTGGTATTTGAATTGGAATTCCAGTCGAAGTCTCGAGCTGAAGTGTAGACCTTCCAGAAATAGTGGTAAACTTGACCTTGGGCTTCATGACCTTGCGCAAGTAGTCTTTTACGCAGTCGTTAAGTTCAATGAGGTAAATTGCCTCGTCAAGTCTTTCTTGCATTCCAAGTTCTTCCATCCGACAGGAAAATATTTTCCCGACAACCGGAAAAAATTTTCCGGACAAAGGGAAAAATTTTTCCCGACGACAGGAAGAACTCTTCCAGTTGTCCGTCCGTAAACCATTCAAATTTTCGAAAATTGAGAACTTTTTGGTCGAACTTCAGAGAATGTTTTTCCTTCCGACAGGACACAAACGGATGACTGACGTTCCTCTTCCTGAATGCCTTCCAAAGCCAGAAGAACCGAAAGCTGCAGAACTCCAGCAGCAACCACAGCAACCTCAGTTCCAGCAAGTACCTCCAAATTACTACCAATTTCCACCTCAAGGTTACTACCCACCACAAGGCTTCCCGAACTACCCTCCTCAGCCTATGCCTTACTTTCCTAATCCTTGGTTGTTCCAGCAAGCTCCACCCCAATTCAAATTCCAATCTCAGTCCAAGAGAGATCAAGACTTCGAAGAAGGTCTGAACCGCTTACGCAAAGAGTATGCTACAGCTCCAATTGAGAGAAAGTTGTTCCCGGACCAAAAAATATAATTAAGGTGAAGAGGTGAGATTTCACCTCTTTTTTCACCTGTTTTTTCACCCTCTTGAATTTTCATGAATTTCCTTAAGATAGAAAAAATAAAGTTAGTTTTATTTTTATTTATTTTTTTATTTTGTATAAAAGATATGATTTCAACAATCGGCACAACAACAATTCAAACAACAGCACCAAACTCGTTAGTCATGAATCCAACATCTATGTTAGTAGAAATGAAAAGCTTCATTCCTTCTTCATTTACTTTCGAAACAGAAATACAAAGAATAAAGCAGGAACTTTTAACAAGTAATTTAGACTGTAGTGCGAAAGATGAAACAAATGAAACAGTATCTTTATGAAATGGAGGACCTCATCGACCATTTGCCTAAACTACCTGAAATTCAGCAGCAAAAACTAACTATTCCTGAATTCGACGAAATTGAAGTCAAAGCAACTGACTCAGTAGAAATAAAGAAGTTCATACAAAAGGTAAATTATGAGTTTCTAGGATATCATTGCAACCATAAAGTTATGGACAAAGATTGCGACATGGTATATAAGAACATCTCTGACATATATAAATCTGGGGAGTTTAAGACATACGACAACTTTGTTTCATTAGCTGCAAAATGTGTATGGCAGATAAGAGATAAAGATAGAAGAGGTAAGGTAGGGAATGAACAGATAAAACCAACTGCTTCAGATTTAAAGAAAACCATTGACGCCTTGGTTGTTTTAGCAGGTAAGGTTTCAGAATATAACGCAAAAATGAACCCGCAATGTTCTAAATGTAAAGCGGCAATGAGGAGATATAACTACTCCGTCAAAGAGATAGAAAGAATGAGAAACGACTATGCAGACTTAAAGAAAGAAGCAGAGAAGCCGGTAGAAGATAAAATGAACATGTTAGAATTTCTGAACAAAAACTATCCAACAGCAGAAGATTTCCTTCTATCTGACGTCAAGAAGAAGTATAAAGAAACTTTCGGTATCGTTAAAACATTCGATGTACTAAAAGAAGAAATTGAAGCTACGAAATTGTTTAGGATTTCAAATATACATCGTACAATTCATGTAAAACGCTTGTGAAAAAAGAGGTGAAAAATTAGGTGAAAAAAGAGGTGAAATCTCACCTCTTCACCTAAAATATATTTTTATTGAATTCAGCAACAAAATTCTGAGTAAAATAATTTTTAGGGCATGTGTCAAACCGTTGAGTTTTCACAAAATTTAAAAAATAACGTATATCATGTGAAACGTTTATAAAATAACTGGGGTAGAAAAGAGGGTAGATATCGGGTTAGATCTAACCATCTACCCTAAAATATATTTTTATTGAATTCAGCACAAAAATCATGAATTTCCTTAAGATAGAAAAAATAAAGTTAGTTTTATTTTTATTTATTTTTTTATTTTGTATGTAAAGACAGATATGTCAACAACAGAGAACACAACAACAGTTATAGTCCATGAAGCTATAAATGAAGAATATGAGTGGGTTCAGTTTAACAAACAACTCCGTCTCATTCGTTCAGTCAAAGACGATATGTACCAAATGCAAAGTATTTTGACAGCATGTTATGCTCCAGATACTAAGCTTCCTAAAGACTGGTTTAGGAACCAAAGCACCATTGAACTCTTAAGAGAAGCACAGCGAGACATACTTTTTTCTGAAAACAGTGAAGAACAGCGAGTAGGTAAAAAACCCCAGTCGCCAAAACTCTATGAAAACCGTGAAAAATTGCCAAACGGTTTGAGAGGATATTATGTTCATAGACTTCTCGTAAATAATGTGGCACAATGGGCTTCAGCTCGCTATTCATGGTATGTTTGTAAACTTCTTGACGAACTTCACAGACAAGAACGCGAAGAGATGGAAAAGAAACTTCATGCAAAAGATGAAGTCATTGAAGCAAAAGACAAAAGCATACAGAAAAGAATACCACGTTCGGTACCAAAAGGAAAGGAAAAGAGTTATAAGTATATGATTTATACTGAAGAGTTGGAGAAAGAAGAAGACAGTGACATGGTTATGTTGCATTTAGTCAGAAGAAACAACAAGAGCTTTTACGACCTTGCTAAGATTAACAAATCTGACAGAAATTGGTTCTATCGCGAAAACTTACCGATTTCAATGACACCTAGTGAAGATGTTAAACAGATAGTTCAAGATACGTTACCTCAAACACACTGTGATATTAAAGGTTGTACAATACTTACATTCAAAGAAGACTTAACATTACAGAAAGAAAAAATAACAGAGTATTTTGACAACTTCAAACAAGTAGGGTAGATGAACTCTTTATTTTTCAAGCTTGACCATTTACACAATTTGAACTTTGTTTGCGTAGATATGAATTCTGAAAGAAGTATGAGGGTCTTGTATGACTTTGTACTTCTCCCATAGTTCATGTCTGTCAAACTTACCTGCCATGGACTCTTTCATAAGTTCCATGAAATCGTCTTCGGACAATCCGGGGAAAAGTATTATGTCAGTAAGTATTCTTTTAACATCCTTACTTAAACTCTTTGCTGTCTGTACACAAATGACAACTGAGATGTTAAAGTGTCTGAGCTTCTTAAGAATTCGACACATATCTTGTTCTCTGTTCTTTAACAAAGGATGAGAGGCGAAATCCTCTAAGATAAGAAGACATCTATGAGGGTAAGTCTTCCAATCGTAAGATTGCAATTTCTTCGAAATGTATTCTATCTCTTTCTGTTTGTTTCTGAAGTGGTGTTTGTCTAATATTCTCTGCATTTCCTCATTAGGTTCTTTAAACTTCGAATTAACATACTCATTTATAGCATTATACTTCAAAACTCTTCTTTGGTACTTCTTTATCCAATCTAACAACTCAGTATCCTTTATACATACTAACTTAGACTTCTTTATAATATCTTTGAACGAATTGACGGTTTGGTCAAATTGACCAGAAGTCGAACAAATAACAACCAACTCATAGAATGGGTTCTTCTCATCTAGTTCTTGTTGCTGTGCAGCCATTTTAAGATAAGTGAAAGTCTTACCCGACCCAGGTGGTGCAATTAGACCTGTTATACCATTCTGAGCAAATAAGAACTTTTCATGTATAGGCTTTATCTGAGCATTTTCTAACTTCCTCTTGTTCTTGTTTAAAACATTCTCAAATTTTTTGTCAATGTCATCAAACTTTTTTTCTAACATATTTTTAGAAAAATTAAAATTTTTATCTTTTAGAAAATGTCTAGCGATTTCGCTATCTATATTCGAGACAAACTTTTTGACAGCAAAACATCTGTCGACCATAAAATCTTACATAGTGTAAACAAGAAAGGTGAATTTGTTCTAAAGTTCTGTTTCTGGGAATATGACAAGAACCATAAAACATTACAAAGAACAGTCTTAAAATTTGTCAATGACAGACTTGTTGACAGAGATGACGCCGATTGGAAAGATGAAGTCCAACAAAAGTTCTTAGAATGCAAAGAAGACACATGCGCTGTTCTTGAAGATGAAATAGAAAACAGAATAGATGAGCTATTAAAGGACAAAGAACTTTTACATAGATATGGTTCTGAGAAATTTGACATATCTCCACCAGAGAAGAAGAAGAAAGAAAAGAAAGAGAAAAAAGTAGAAGAGAAGAAAGAACCTGAACCAGTTCCAGAGAAAAAGAAATTTGACATGTAAAAATAAAATTTTATTTTTAGAACATTTCTGGGTCAATGTCAATGTTCTCTTCCTCTTTAGGAGTAAACACTGGCTTAGACTCTAATAGCTTTTTACCCAATTTACCTTGAACTTCTACAACTTTAGACTCATAATATTCATAGTCGTCTGTCTTCTTTGGTTCATAAGGTATAACAAGTTTGTATGCTTTGCCTTCTTTAAGGTTTGAGAACCTTCTATCAAAACTTTCTTTGACTGTTAACAAACCATCAATGTATAAGTCTTCAAAAGTTGCACCACTTTTTCTAACAACAGCAAACTTAACTGGTGCAATGTTCCAAATTTTGTCAAATGTAGACTTTTCAAAATGGTAGAAGTAAACATTCAAATATGTGAATGGGTCTAGTTCTTCTTTAAGTCCTGACATGTACTTGTTTACTGAAATATATTTCGTCATCTTTTCTATCTGATAAAAAAATATTTTTTTAAAATTTACTCAGAAAAAATTTTCTTTGTATATACACCATTCTGAACATCTAAAAGACTTTTGACATTTGCCAAGAATGTACGTTTAGAAGCTGCCATATAACCATATTCTTGACAATATTGTTTATATTCATCATATAAAGACTTTTCATCTAATGACACAAAGTCAGTTTCATCTATGAACAGTTCATATACACTCTTGTTTGCTTCTAACAATGTTTGTCTCTCTTCGGTATGTGGAATTTGTCTTGGATTGAACTTAGAAATATCTAATGTCATGAAATATGAGAACAAGTGGTTGTAAAAGTCAGATGTCAAAGTTTCTGCTAAGTCGTCAAAATATTCTGTATCTTGCATATGAGAATCTGACGTTCTGACAACTACATATCTTCTGTCAGAACTTTCTAACTTCATCGGAACAGCATTGTTTGAAACCATAATGAAGTTTGCAACATTTTCACAAACTCTTTGGTCTTTATACTTTCTTTCAACAACTCCAACTTTGTCTGTTATAAGACTCTTCAAAGCATCTGAGTTCAAAACTTTTGTTGTATCTATACTTTGAAGTTCATTGCAAACTATAAGTTTCATATTCTCTATTGGGGAGTTAAATTTACCGCAGATGTTTTCTAAGTTTGTCATATTCGGATTCGAATAACCTTCTAACAGTTTGCACAAAATATCTGTAAAGAAAGTATTCTTACCTGTTCCTTGTTTTCCAATTATAATGAGAGCAGTTTCATTTTTAGCACTTGGATGTTGTAAGATATTTGCAAACCAACATAAGATATACTCATAGACTCTTTCGTTTCCATTACATATAATTTCTTTGACATGGTCTAACCAAGCTTCTATAATATTTTCTTTCCATTCTACTTGTTCGTATTTATATCCAGTGAAGATAGAATAGAAGTTTGGAGATGGTGTATAGAACTTTATACCTCGAACTGAAAAATCTTCAAGTTTTGACAATAAGATATCCCAAGCATCTAACATCTTCATGCCAACTTGTACGACTTTTATTTTCTTAAGTTTCTGTCTACATTCTTGTTCAGACACTATTGTTGCTCTTGGTTTGTTAAAGACAACATCCCATTCTTTCATAACATAACATTCTGGGGCAGAGTCGACATAAATGACTAAACGTTTCAAATTCTCGACTGCTTTGTTATAGTCTCGAAATGGACACATATTTCTGAATGCTTGGAAGTCATAAAAATCTGAAACATCTATTCTGTACATTTTTATAAAAATAAAAAAAATAAATTTTTTATTCTTGAACCATTTCTTGTTGCATCTCAGGAGGTATTTCTTGCATTTGTTGCTGAGTTTGAGGCATTTGGTCTTGTAATACAATACCTTCACCGGTTGCATCTTCCAATTCTATACTTTCTGCTGTCATAGAAATATACATAGGACATAAAAGTTTTACGGGAACAAAGTTTGCGTCAACTAAGGTTAAGTTTATGTTTGCTAAAGTGTTTGAGTTTACTAAAGCTGAAAACTCTGCATTCGAATGAACAATAGGCAAACCAGCAGAGAAAGTATTGTTTATACGCATAAGTATCTTTTGGTCATAATAGTTTCTGTCGACATTCGAATAACACTTTGAACCTAAGTTTGAAACAATATATAAAATAGGTGTACTTAAAGTCAACGGAACAGACAAACCTTTTACAATATAATATCCATTATTCCATTCTGCTTCTATAGGAAATGTTTGGTTGTAAAACCCTGAAATAAGTTTTGCATTATAACTCATGTCATTTAAAATGAAAGGAAAAGTTCCAGTAAAGTTTATAGTTCCCGCATGTGTTATAGAACTTAAAATATTTTTATCTGGAAAAAGTTGGTTAAACAGGTCTACAAAACCACCTGGTGGTATTTCAGAATATGTATCTTCCCAATAGTATTTCATACCATTTAAAACAATATAGTCATCTGGAGTCAAAAGAGCAAAACATGCTTTAGTCGTCATTGTGTTTAAGGTTAGTTTACAATATCTTCCTTGAGGACTTTGAAGATATGTAGTTATAGAGTTATATGACTCATGGTTCTTTGTTGTTATAGTATACAGAAGTATGTTTTCTGCCATTTACTTAGCAAACAAACTTCAAAGAAATGTTATGGTCGTCAAATATTTTTATGACGTCTGGGAAACTATATTTTAAGTTCAACGTTTCACCTCCCTTCATAACGTATATCTTGTCAATGACATTATATGAAACACCACAGCAACCAATGTCGGGTTCTATTTCTTTGATGTTTATATCGTCTGCCTCTGTCAAAAGTTTCAATAGTTCTTTCAAAACTTCATGAGGTGCAATGACATATGAGTTCACTTTTACAGGGTTGTGTTCGACCAAGTTTAACATTATACTTAAAGCTTGACAAATCTTCTCCTAAGTTTGAAGTTTGTCTTTAAGTTGTTGGTAGTCGTTTCGAATATCTGCAACAGAACTTAAGTCTCTGTTAACTTCAGGATATGTTGGTTCTTTTACAGGAACAATTGTTATACCATCTTCGTCTTCGTATGGTTTCCCCACTTCAACATCTCTGTCTTTAACATTGACAACAACACTTTGACTGTTTGTTTGAGTTGGTGAATTTAACTTCACATCTGCCACCGCCATTAAACCTTTTGAAACACTTACGCTTCTATTTTTCGGAAATGACATTTTACTTAGAATAAAAAGATGGACGTATTCGGATATCTTATTGAATTGAAGCAGAACAAAGTTTATACTCACAAACAATACAAATACATTGACAGAATAGTTCTTTACACAAACAATGGAAAATGTTATAGAATAGCAGTCTTTGCTGAACCTAAATATTTTCATAAAGCAAAGAAAGTTGGTATAACTGAAATGGTGAAAGTTCTTGAAGCAGACAAAAATATAACTTCAAAACTTACATATATTTCTAAAGGTAAGTTTATCTTACAGTATTATGTCAAAACTGGCGTACTGTCAATATTTGACGGAGAGAAGTCAGTTCAAGAACAACTTACTGACCTGCTGCCAAAATCTGCTCGATGGAAGCTGTCGTTATGCCAATCTGAGGAGCCCCAGCAGGTTTCATCGAACGAATCTTCAAAAGAGCATCTTCCGTGAAAAGTGCTATTGGTTTTGTAAACTTCTTTGCTCTCAATTCATCTGGACCGTTTCTGTCACCAGTATATTGTATTTGAACTGTACCAACAGTTGAAATACCACCAATAAAGTCTTCTGAGTCAGCAAATGGAATGCCAAGCCAAAAGTTTGAACGGTCTCCATTTGTATATTGAGTTTTTTGACCTCCTGTATGAGTCCATACTTTCACATATGGCATAATAGAACTTTGCATTTCAGGGTTAATGGTTGTTGTGAAGTTGTTGTTAAAGTTCATAGCATCTAATGTCAGGTTGTATGACCTCATATCCTCAACTGTAGAATATTCTTCTCTTGGATAATATTTGCCATCTATGTTTATATGATATTTAATACCAGGGTTGTAGAAACAAGAATAGTCATTTATAGTTCGTCTGAATAGTACAAACATAGTATCTGCATGTTTCATTGCAGTTGTTAAAGCAATATCTGTTCTTGCACCTGCGGCTCCTGGATTTTGGTTTCCAACTTCACCTGCAAAGTCTTTGACAGATATTTGGTGTATAGGGAACATAAGTGGAACTGCAATATATTTGGCAGCTAAAGCATTTGAAATATCTGGGTCCAACATATAGACTGCAAGTCTGCTTTCTATTCTCTTGCATTCAAATTTTTCGCATGTGAACTTAACTGGGTCCCAAGCAGTTCCAGCAGCATTGAAATAATAGTTTACTTCATTGTTGAAGTTTGAGAAACCAAAGTCTAAGTCAACTTTGTCTTTGCAAAATTCGGCGAATGACGTTTGATTTGTTCCCTTTACGTCTGTAATAGTGAATGGGTCTTGTGTTGGTGCAATGACTAAGTTATTTTTGCTTGGAGTAAGTTCGATAGAAATTTTTCCTGCCCAGTTTGGCAAGTATCTTAAAAACCTGAAGATGAGGAAAGATGACAAAGGAACTCTAAGTTTCAGTTTTACTTTGGTTACTGCTGCTGCAGTTTGTCCAGAAAGGTTAACATAAACTCCTGGAACGTTAGGGTCAAGTCTTCTTATTTTCTCAATGGTGGCATACTGGTCTGTTTGTTCTCTAGCTTGTGGTTGTACTGAGTTTCTCAAAGCGAACCATTCATAGTTTGCCCATGTTACTGTTTGAACTAAGTCAGAGTTAGAATATATCTTATATCCCATGAAAACTTCTGGAGCATATTGGTATCCGACATAGAAAATTCCATTCCAACCTTTCTTGTCAGACAACTTGGCAGAAGGTTTTATTTCAATGTCTTGTTCCACGTATAAGAATGAGTTGTCAATAGAAATAATATGAAACCTGTCGCAAGCAATATCTACTGTTGTTGAAGAACCTTCTCCAAACTCACCTACGTTTCCATAAGAAACAGCAGTTGTATATTCGTAAGTTCCAGGAACTATTTCTGACCTTCTAATGGCATTGTCGCATTCGTTATACCATTCGGAAACATTTCCGTTCATGGCATCCAAAACTGTTGGCGTTATATTCTGAGCGGCGTACATTTCATATGGGTAAAAATATAGAATAGTTGGATTTATATGTCATAATAGAACCCACTCGGACCAAGCTTTACTTTCTTCCTGACTGAGTTTTTAACTCTTCTTTTTCCTTCATTGCCACTACTTTCACTAGATGAAGTTACTTCTTCACTACTTTCACTTTGTTCTACTCTTCTCTTCTTCTTTGGTGTCGCTTTTGGTAACTTGCCCTCTGCTTCAAGTTGTAGCATCTTTGCCTTATGTTCACCTAGTATGTTGTAAATTTCCCATGTCCTTTTTGCCTTTGGGCTCTGGTCGCCCCTCTCAGGTAACCTATATCCTAGAAAGATTTTGTCATAGTTTGTATTTGAGTCGTCGCTTATTGTTTGCATGACTCTTTCCTGAGTTTCCGGTTCAAGCTCTTCAAACAGAGGTTGTCCATATGGAATAAGCTCGTTTTCAAATATATGTTTTTGTAGCCATTCTGGTTTTCTTTCCATGTAACCAATAATATCTTTTGTGAATGGGAAAGCTTTTACCCAACGTTTCAGTCTTGCGTCATTTATTTCTGTAGTTAGTTTTATTTTGTCATGGAACATGTTTTTCAATACTAACATTTCACTTGGTACTGTCCATTTGAGTTTTCTTAAATATTCATCCCTTCTCAGTTCATTGTCTGCAAAGTAAGTTTTTATGACATTTTGCAAACTTTCGTTTGCAAGGTCATGTACAATAGGTTCTCTTCCTTCTCTCTCCCTAACTTTCTTTCTAAACTCTTCACCAAATATACCATCTCTATGGTTCTGTGTAGTTCTTTGAGATAAATGTTCTAGAACGTCAGGTGTTATATTTCCCTCAGCCATGTTCATTTCATACTGGTCCAAAATATCTGCATGTTTCATATCTTTCAATGGCATTAAAGCCGCGCTGAAAATACCCGTTATATCTGGTTCACCATTCACTTCCATTGCGTCTACAACTTCTTGGAATTGAGGTTGTAAGTTTATGAACCACCTATCCGGATTAGCTTTATGACCCCATCTCATTGTAGTTCCATAGTCTGCAGAAACAAAAGTAGGTTTGTTTCCATATTGGTTAGGTTCTGAATGAACTTTAAACAATGTTTCATTTCTATATGTTTTGTTGAAATTAAACCTTTTATTTTCACCGAGTTCAGCCAAAGATTGAACGTTATATGGTTGTAAGTAAAAAGGATTATTGTATTTGCGTACATTTTCTTTCAGTACTTCCATTCTATGCTGAATATTTTCATCTGATGTTGGAGTCTTTTGTATGTCGGTGAACATTTTTCGATATTCTTCTACTATGTCAGCCGAATTTTTCTTAGACTCTTGGAAAGATTCCATATTCACCTCATACTCTTGTTGAGGGTCAAGATTTTTCGGCTGTTCCAAATCTTCATCTAGTTCTGTGAAGTTAGTTTCAAAAGGAGGGACTTGTTCGTTTCCTTCAGGCTCTTCTAGCTGTTGTTGCTGAACTATTTCTTCCATGTCTGGTTGTATCTGAACTTCTTCCTGTTGAGTTTCTTGTACCTCATCTGCTGGCATTTCATATATTCCGAGACCGTTTTTAACAAGTTCCCTATCTAAGTCATCCGGACTCATAACCCTTTCTTCTTTCGTTCCGTCTCTATTTTTTACGCGTTTCATGAAGAGAGTTGAATTATCATTTAGCTCTGACATCAAATATCTCGGAGTAAATTCATTCATGTCATTTGGATGATATGCTATTAAATCATATCCCTTTGCGAGCTTGTATTTTCCAGGTTTGAGATTATATCCGATTTTATGCTGAACCATAAAGCTAAATAGGTTCGGGTCAGTATTTCCTTCCTTGAACTTTCTAATAGCTTCTTTATATCTGTCACTAAAGTCAAGAGTATCTGGGTAACCATAATCTTCCTTAAGCATTTTTAAGAATTCTTGGTTTCCTTTTTCTCTACTTCTTTTATGTCCTTGCTCTGTTTGTGGTTGTTGTTGTGCAGGGTTTTGAACTGTTGGTTGCTGTGTTGGATTTTGAACTGTTGGTTGCTGTGTTGGATTTTGAACTGTTGGTTGTTGTTGTTGTGCATGCCTGTGTCTGTGTCCATGTGACGATGTAAATGTTTTAGGTAGTCCTGGTGCAGGTGCTTCTCTTGGAGGGTTTGGTGGTATATAAGTTCCACCAGCTGGCACATATGTTCCATCTGCAGCATAATGTCCTACCTGACTTTTCATTTTTAAGAAAGCATTTACTAGGTCTGTTTTGGTCTGTTGTAACTCTTTTTCTTGACTTTCCACAACAGCTGCTCTAACGGCGTCATAGGCACTTTGAGCTGCCTGTCTCGTTGCTGCATCTGTTATTTTCGTCATATTTTGTGCTACTTCTCTTAACTCTTTGTCGAAACCTTCAGACTTCAGTTTCTTTCCAGATGAGAAGTCGTTCACTAGTTTCACCTTACTATGAAGAGCTTCGAAGGCATTCTTAAAGTCAGCATTCATTAAAGCTTCATTTGAACTGTCTTCATCCGCTTGTATTTTTGTCCTTATTGACCCTATAATTTGGGCTGCTTTAGTGTTGGCTTGGGCATCTAACCAGTCATTATTAGCTTTTATATATTCTGCGCTTTTCATTGCCTTTTGCATGGCTGCGTCGTTATTTTTACTTTCTTGTGCTAAGTTTTCATACTGTACGGTTTGGTTTTGCAACTGTAAAAGTTTTTCTGCCTTTACATTTGCTTCAACTTCTTTTTTATACTCATCGCTATCCATATATGTCTTCATGGCTTTTTGTTTTATCTCTTCATCTTTCAGTACTTTATATTGAGTAGTATGGTTTTTCAAATTTATAACATCTTGTTCCATTTTTGCTACTTCCGCTGCTTTTTCTGACACTTTTTTCGCATATTCCTCTGTACTTAGTTCTTTCAGTTGTTCTTCTTTCTTCTTTTTCTCTACGTTTAACTCATTTAGTTTCTTTGTCTGTCTGTCATATTCTAGTTTCTTTTCGTTTTCATTTATTTGTTTCTGTATGTCTATGTTTGACTTTTTGACATCTGTTATTTGATTTTTGAGTGAACTCAAATTCATTTGACTTTGAGGGTTATAAGCTGTTCCGTCTGCAGCTCCACCATAGCCTGCCATTTTCGCTAAAAGTGCCGCTCTTAAACCTCCACTCTGTGCACCAATAACTCGGTTTAAAAGCATAGGGTTGCTTGACATTTGTTGCAACATAGTGGGGTCATTCATCATTTGTTGTTGCAACTGTTGTTGTGGTGTCAGTTTTACTATTGGATGTTTCAATGCTCCCTTCCTCTTACGTATATTCTTACGTAGCTTACGTGGCATTTTAAGTGAAGTTAAAAAGCGGTTTTTGACAGATGTTTATATGACACTTTTTGTTCAGCACAAAAAACTACTCGGTCAAAGTGTTGTCAGTTTTGTAAAATAACCGTCCTATCTCATTCTATAAGGGGAAAAAGGCTTCTCAAAGTATACTTCCTTGGAACGCCTGTAACTTTTCCTGTAGCGATGATAGACCCTTACTTGTCCGGACAAAGTTATACTATTTTGAGTGCTCTACAAAAAAGTCACCGGCTGGCTCGTCCTCAGAAATTTTTTATGGGCTAGAGGGCGCAACGCGCCTGAAAGCCCCACTACCTTTTTTTAGGCTGTTCATATTTTAATGAAAATGATATATCTAAGCCAATTTTGAAAAATGCAATTTATAATTTATGCATTAATTATGTATTGTTTTTATAAATCTTAATAATGTATACTGATATTTACTATTCGCTTTAGTTTTTCATCTGATTCAAAAATTAAATTTTGTAAATATTCAGGCTGAAAGCACCAATAACAGTAAATTGGGTTTGAATTCTGGAATAGAAACAACAGAGCCCCTTCCTGGCCTTTCATCGACTCTTCATAGAGCGTCACTTTTTGTTCCCCAATCCCCCATGGGGGACTGGGGGACATTCAAAATTGAATGTATATTTGGCCGCGTCCCCCATGGGGGATTGGGGGATTGGTGGAAATTTATTTTCCTGATTTTATTAATGATTAATATATTACCTTTAACAAAAATCAAAATCATGTCATTACAAAGCTCATAGAGCTAAAATTTAAGAAAAATTAAATATCAATTCTCTGAAAATGCAAGAAAATTCAACAAAAACTAGATAAATGTATTTTAAATATTAACGAGGTGCTGTATATATTATAATATTTGAACTTCAGTAATCAATAATTATTTTGACACTTTACAAATAGACTCTGACTTCATCAAACAAAGCTTCTCAATTTTTGTTCCCCAGCGTCCCCCACTTGGGGGACGCAATCAACCCCCGGGGGGACAAAACGACATCCTTAGGATATGATAATATAACATTGAGAATTAAAACCATTTTTTTGTCACATTGAAATTACATAAAAATTTCAACTTGACTTTATTTTGACATCAATGAATATCATAAATAAATAAGGTAGAATAATAAGAATAGTCGCTGAAAGTTCAAAAATAATTCATAAAACATTTCAAAATAAATCAGACGTCAATTAAATTTCTGTGAACTGATTAAAAGGTTATTTCATTGAAAATTATTTGACTGTCAATTTTAATTTTTTTTACTTCTACAAAGTATTTTATTATTCGACTCATAATTGAGAAATACATCCACATTATATAAATATAAAGGTATCAATGCTTCTCATTCAACTCCTTACGAAGTTTTCCTCAAACGAGGAAATTATCTTTTTGAATTATGGGGAGGTTCAGGAAACGATATAGTTTTATCTAACCCAATCAGGAGTGCATACGTAAGCGGCTATGTTGTATTCCGTCATTCCATTAAACTTTACCTACACGTAGGATCACAAGCTTATAAAAATGCCTCTTTTCCATCATATGGTGGAGGAGGTCCAGGCCAAATATCAGGTGGTGGCTCATCTGATATCCGACTTCTTCCAGGTGATTATGGCGACTTTTCCGGTCTTAAAAGTCGAATTATTGTTTCATCGGGCGCTGGATCAAGTGACGGTTGTTACGAAATGGGTGGTCCTGGTGGTGGATTGATTGGCTATAATAGCACTGGCAACTATGGCCGAGGTGGTACGCAAATATCAGGCGGCGAAGGAGGTATTAAAGGAAGATTTGGTTTCGGTGCCGGAAATGAATCTCGACGATATGATGGTCATACACCGGATGGCAATGCAGGAGGTGGCGGGGGCTATTTTGGCGGTGGAAACTCATATTTACCAGGAAATTGTGGTTCAGGTGGAGGGAGTTCCTTCATCAGTGGCCATAAAGGTTGTATTTCCGTTTTAGAATCATCAGAATCAGAAGAAAATCTGAAGTTTTCAGAATCATTTGATCCATCAATTCATTACAGTGGAATCCAATTTTATCACACCGTCATGATTGATGGCACAAGTAATATGCCAAATCCTCTTGGTGGTAACGAAACGGGCCATTCAGGCGATGGTTTCATTCGAATCACCCAAATCTATCTCCTTGATTGTCCTAGTTACAAATATCATTACTTTGCATTACCTTTCTCATCTTTATTTTTATTCAATTTAATAAATAAATCATAAACATGATCAACAGAATGAGATTAAGAGAGCAAATGCTTTATTCTAATTAGATATTGTTCAAAAAACACAAAATTAGAGTTCATCATTGGCATTGAATGTAACTTGAGTTGTTTTCACATTCCATTTAAAGGCTAAGAGATCTAATTTGACATTTTGTCGATTTTGTGCAGCTATGAAAGATTTAATATTTTTAGGATCTGCAATTCGATTTTTTAAAACAAGTCTTAAGATTTTCACAGAATTTTTTTAATTCATCAGCAAGTTGTGTTATTTCATTATATGAAGATGAAACAATTATCACGCCAATTTCACTTGAGAAAGGTAATTTTGATGTTTATATTCCATCGAATTGTGTTTTAGTTCCATATTTCGGCTTTCCTATGTTGTTTTTGTCTAATTTTCCACAACGAAAACTATTAGAAAGTTTTCATAATTCACATAATGAGAAAGAGTTCAGTTCAGTTTTTCGTATATTGTTAAATATCCAAGAGATTACACATTATGAATCAGAACCATTTTATTAGATCTTAATTGGTTCTATTTCTAATTCACACAAATTTATTTCGAAAAATTTGTTTTTAGAATTTTTAGTTTCATTATCCAAGAATTCTAAATCAGAATCAGCATTGACAAGCATTCTTCTTCACAAGAAGATGTGGGATAATGTTAACAACGACATCCTTGTTGAAAGTATTTTCGAACAATTCAATGAAAATGATTTTCGATCTGTTGCCAATTTCGAAATCTTCTTGACTAAGAAAATCATGGACAACCAAGGCTTATGTAAAATGATCATTGCAATCTTAAAAAATATCAATAAAGTTCCATTGTTGAAACCATATCTTAACTGTTTATTACGTATTGGTTCTGATGAAATGAAGTCTAATATTATTAATGCACTCACAGAATTCATTGATAAATTCACATATGATATTGTTCTTTCTATCTGTCCATTTGATTTTTTTGTTGAAATTTGTTTAGTTGTTTCCACCGAATTGAAGATCAAAATCATTCATTTGATGTCTCTCTTGAATTCATATGATAATGATTATGTTTTACCCACACGCATCATGCAAAAAGTTGTTTCTGAATGCTTTGTTTCAGACAGTGTTTGGAAAGATATCGTTGTTATTTTAGACCAATCTCATCATCCAGATATTTATAATTTAGGCATTGTTTTGATTAGTTTTGGTACAATTAGCTGTTGGTCTGGTAACACTCAATTAGAGAAATACGTCAATGATCTTTCATTATTTATGTTGAAAAAGATCAATATATTAAGTGAAAATCAGAATTTTGTTATCTGTCTTTCTACATGGTTGAGTTTATGTTTAAATATTATTTATTTGAAAGATCGTACCAAATTCAAATTTCTTAAAAGTAATTCAGAAAATATTCACATTGAAGTTGATGAAAAAATCTGGATTAATATTGACAAAGTCTTAGAAAAATCATATAGGATAGAAACAGTTGACATCAATGGTATCGAATATTTTGATAAACTTATTGATATCAAAAACAATAATATCAACTTTTATCAAATTACACAGTTTTCTAATTTCATTAACAACTTTTTGATATTATCAAATCCAAGTTTTATTTGTAGTTTCATTCTTTCATTTGTTTCAGTTTCTAAAATCAGAAATGATCCATTGATCAAATTCTTCACTATCAATGTTTTGAACTATATCTTGACAAATCCACCGAAGACACAACAAATCATTAATTTGTTCACATCTCTTCTATTCTTATCTAATTCTAATTATTTAGAAGGCTTCGAAACAGACATCTTTTTACGCATCTTGACATTTATTAATTTGCTTTTAGGAAATAATGAAATCATTAATTCTATTTCATCAGTTACAGACTGTTTATTGATTAATTTATTCAGTCATTTATCAGAAGACAAAGTTCCATTGATTGTTAGTCACATTATTTCATGCATGAAAGCATTTTCTATTTTAGTTGATAATTCTAAATCACTTTATTCATGGATTTACATTTTATTATTATCTCATACAAACACATCTCTTTTCTTTGACAAGATCTCAAACAAAGTTGAAAGTGATATTCTTTCTCTTGCACGCAAAGGCGACATCACATATTTCGAACCATTTTACAAACAGAAAAGTATCGAAATCAGTCTAGTTATTTCATCTATTAATGTCAAAGATTTTGTTTGTAAGAACTTTCCATTAATCAGTCTTGAATATCATAAGAGTCGCGAAATCTCAAATTTTCACAAACATGTTTACGAATTGTTGATGAGTGAAGTTTTGAGTTCATTAAATTCAGAGTTCATTGTTTTAGAAGAAATGGTATCATGGATGAGTTTTTCGACAGAAATCAAAGACCAGAAGAGTTCTATTGATGATTACAGTCCAATTTATTTCACGCTTTGTCCCCGTTCATTTCCATTTTATCCCCCTCGTTTGTTATCCCCATCATATTTCAGTCGTTGTGAAATCGAATACGATTATTACAGCAAGCAAGCAGTTGCAACACATCGAAACGACATTACCGATTTATTCTTGAAGATCCACAACAACGAAGGTAATTTGCTATATAAGTTTAATACCGAATTATCACGTTTTTCACAGAAATTGCATTGTTCCGTTTTTTTCTTCGAAACATCATTTGATGTTGTCACATTTTCAGAACTTCAACATGATAAAATGATTCTTCAAGATTTAGGTCATGATGAAATGAAGAATCTTATCAACGAATCTATCCAAGGTGACTGGGGCAGTACATCCATTTTTGCTGGTCGAATTGTCATCAGCGTCAAATACTCACAATTAATTTATGTTCATAAGAATGAACAAAAATATATTTTTGGGGCTTCGAATGTGGTAGTTTTATTTTAACATTTTGTAAACAGAATTCAGATGAAATCAGTCCATTTTTCAGTAAGATCAGCGAAAAGTGTTTAGATTCACTTCCTCCTTTCCCATTCATTCATCGTGTTAAATCTATTGAAGAATCACTCCAAAAGTTCGCAAATGGGTTGATCACCGCAACAGACACACTATTGATCTACAATGCATTAAGTGGTCGATTCTTTGTTAATTGTGACGATCAACCAGTTTTCCCACGTTTATCATTTTCAGAAGAAATTCTTAGTTTGTCATTTCATAAGACACCAGTTGCAACAAGCAGAGCGACAGTCACATTTTCAAAATCAATTGTTCCACAAACTATTCAAAACACGAAGAAAGCAGAAATATTTCGACGTAATTCTACTCCCGACATTTTTTCATTGAAGAAAAAGAAGAAAATCAAGCATCCAACATTTTATGACATCGATAAAATTCCTACTATTTCTAAAGAATGTATCAGTCCATTGTTTATGTCTATTCCGGAACTTCTCAAATCTGGTATGAAGACATCATCACATATCAACGAGAAACTTGAATCCGAGAAGAACTCTAAACACATTTTTTCATTTTGTAATTCATTGAAGAAATTCCAAAATTCAGAATTTGTTTCATTTAGTGCTAAACTTAAAGTAACAAGTTCGCACAAGAAGTCAATTTGTAATATCCACAACATCATCACTCCACAAGTCATGTCTCTTAAAGCTAAGCACGTCATCTTTGATGGTGAAAGTATCCGATCATCACCATTAATGAGTCATCGTCTTCAATGTTCACGTGATTTGATTTTCCAACTTGACATTTCATCCATGTCTATCATTGTTACATCTATTCGCAATGGTAATGTTGTTTTCCGACGCACATCACCAACATTTGTTTACAGCACTGGCTTTTCACTTTCTGAGAACGGCCTGTTGTTAGTTGTTGATTATGCATTTTGTTTATCACGTTCATTCCGAATCAAATACGAATTTGGTATTCCTACCGAGATTTCATCATTGTCCGCCATTTCATTACCATCTAAACCTATTTCAGACATATGTGGCTATGATTGTATTGTTGTTACATCATATTCATCCACATTTGTTATTTGGGATGCATTTTCAGGAACAATCCACTGTAAAGTTGATCTTTCAGAAAACATTGTTACATCCAAATTTGATGAATCTAGTGGTCTTGTCTGGGTTTTGACCGAGATTTCACTTTATTTGTATAGTATCAATGGCAGTCATCTCGCCCATCGTGAATTCAATAAATCTAAGACATCATCACTTAGTGTTTTTCGATTATCTAATTCTGAATCTATCCGCTATTCATTAGTTGGTTTTGTTAATGGCAATATTATTTTAACATCATATCGCGCCGATTATTCATTCATCGAAATTAAAGAATTAGAAAGTCCTCATCAACATAAAATCGTTTCTCTTCAAATCCACGGCAGCAACACATGTTTTACATCTAGTGATTCCGATCTTAATGTTACATTATGGACATCTATTGGTGTTCTTTCACCACATTTTCGTCACGAACTATTAACACGATGTCCTATCTGCGGCTCTATTTCATCAGAACAATGTCAATCATGTTCACGTCATTGCTGCAAGCGCTGCTGCATTAACGGCACATGTCTTTTTTGCACTGGATTATCTCTTTATGTTTAACTATTTATATATTAATAAATTTTACTCATTTGTTTGTTTCTTATATAAAAATATTATTTTTTATTAATTCATTTATTCATATTCTACTTAAGTTTTATTCTAAGTCACTACACAATATCTCTTTATATATGTTATGCAATCTCTCTTTCAATGAGTTATTTTTCTCATTATTTTATGAATATTTTATTAAAGAGAGATTAATTATGAACTTATAATATATTCAAAGTATCATAATCGATCAATCTTTTTAATGAAACTCAAATGTTGTAATAATTTAGATTTTTACAATCGAAACATATATTTTTATAAAAATAATGATAAAATGAGAGATAATAACAGATAGTATGAGAAATTGCACGCTGACAAATAATAAACATAAATAGAATATGAATATTTGATTGTCATTAATGATGAAATTTGCTCATGTTAACTTGAAGTATTTAATAGGCAAAATCGCAACCGAATTTTTAAATCTAGATTTTGATGATAAATTGTGATTTTTAGCTTAAATCGCGATTTTTTAAAAATCGCGAACAGAATTTTTTCGCGATTTATTAATAAATCGCGATTTGAACGATAAATTTCGATTTTTTTAAAAAATCGCGATTCGTGAAAAAATTGCGACTTTTTGAAAAATCGCGAACTTTCAAAAAAATCACGTCCTTAATTTTGGTCTTTTTCGGAGTGATAAGTCGTCCTTTAAGTAATATTTTTTTTCTCGAATTGCTAATTGAAAAATTAAATTCGAGAAAAGAGATTACAATAGTATTGTATGGACTATAATCCTACTACTATAACACTTTTTTTGTGAAAATCACACTTTTTTAAAAAAAGATATCAAATTGAAAAAAATTATTCTTATTTTTACTTATACTGTAGGGCACATTCATTGGTTATGAAAATCACATAGTATGAATACTCAATCCCAAATATCTTAAAAAAATATTCTAAAATATTAGACTCGATTTTAGCAATTGTATTCTAATCATAATATAATGCCCGAGTATATTATATAAATAGAACAAATATTAGTAAATTCAATTTTTTTTTTCAGATCGCAAATTATCTAATACAAATATTCATAAAAATCACATACAGTATATTTGCATTCAATGTCAAATATAATAGCTATCTAATACTTTCGAAAAATTGAGCTATTGAATATTTTATAAAATTTCTGGTCCAAAAATTGTGCTTTCACAATATTTTGATGATATCTATAATAATTAGACTACAAATATAAATTGTATAATAAAAAATCAAAATTTGCTTTTGATATCTCAAATCTCGATATGAGATATTCAATGTCAAATCAAAGTATTCATAATTAACAGATTTGTATCGTGAATGCTTTCGTTTTGCTTAATACACAATTATGCATGACAAGTGTGTGTGGCTACACAATTCTTTCCGTCCGAAGCGGAGAATTGTGAAGTTTACACCGCACTTCACGGATAATATAATGGAAAAACGATTTTCATGGAATACTATTTTTATTAATAGCTTAATAAATGAGCGAGTCTGATAGATATATGTTACGCAAGATATATCCATAGAGAAGTGTTTAAGTATAAAACAATGCGTTATACGTTATATGTAGGATATAGATGGTTTTTCTCCATTGAGAATTTTGTCATGTGAAAAATCTCTTTTTTAGCTATGATAAAAATACTTTTTATATACTATTATATCTCAGTTGATATTGATTCAACATTCTTATTTCACATGATAATATAATAGTATATGTAGCGAGGTATTATATTCTCTTGTGATTTCGATCTATTAATGCTCACACAAAAAATTCGCTACATCAAAATTTCCTCGGAAAATTTCACTTTTGCTGCTTTGATTCAACTTTGATGTCCAATGAATACTCAATAAAACTCGAAACTCTGATCATGGAGATCTATCATCACATATATAATTATATTGCTTAAATATATGTATAAATTGTATTTTGGATTTTTCGGATTAAAAAAGGTTAAAAGTGTCATATTGATATAATTCACATTTTATTCTGCTTATAAATCATATTGTCTTGTAATATTTGATAAAATTATCACTGAATTCTTAATTAGTTTTTTTTTAAAATATCAATTTTGATTTATTGGACTTGAAAATATTTTATTTATATTATAAATCATATTATCATTTAGTGTTTATCAAAATTATGGTTCTTCGTTTTGTAGCTATATTTTGAATGACAATAGAAAAAAAAATACTAGAAACTAAATATGTATTTAATTTTATAAGTAAAAATTCACATAATGATAATATATTTGTGAAGATTATTTGAAGAAACGATTTTTATTAATTCAATTTTCATTATAGCATTATTTAGGTGAAGTGCTCTCAAATTGTGAGCCAGACAAATGTTTAATGGCTGCAATAAAGGAACATAGCTCAGGTGCGTTTGCATTGAATATTTATCGTTTTGATTTCACAAAACATCGTTGCGTTTAATCAAAAATTTGATTAACTTAATAAATTTAAAGATTAAGCGATCTCATTTTAACACAATCGGTAAATTCAATACGTCTATGAAACAAAGCCATAATTTCTCGTAGTATAAAATATTTGATAAAATTTTATCGCTTACAGAGGTGGAATTAAAGGGTGAGAGATATATAGATAGACTATATATCTCTCACCCTTTAATTCCCTATACAAAGTTCGAAAACTTGGGTGCAATCAGATCTGATTGCACCCAAGTTTTCGAACTTCATGTAAAGAATTGCTTGCTATGATGTACTGATCATGAATCAGTACATCATAGCAAGCAATTCTTCATCTTAAATATATTTTTCTTAATCAATACATAACTTGTTCGCAATTTGGTTTTAGACGCTATATTTTAATCTAATTTCGATTTTTTATAAAATCGCGTACTTCTAATAAAACGCGATTTCAAAAACAATCGCGATTTTTTTCTGTTCGCAATTTTTCAGAAGTTCGCGATTTTATAAAAAATCGAAATTTTTCTTTGCGATCGAGATTTAAAAATTCGGTTGCGATTTTGCCTAATTTAAGAAGGAAAAATGACAAATAAGACATGATTGTTCTTCACATAGTTATAAAAGATGCTATATACATTGAATAGACAATGCTTTACACTTTGTAACTCAAATTCGATAAATCAAAATAATTTATGAAAGGAATCATCAAATTTACTTGTAATGAAGGCGACAATATATTGCCTTATTGATGGTCATCACATCAATCAGTCATCAAAAATGATAAATGCCAGAAAATTGTTTTATTTAGGAATTTTTATCAAAAAAATACCAAAAAAATTGACATTATTCAATTTTTAATTTATCGTTTTGATCGGAACGATAAATAATCAAAAATAATATTTTAGTGCCAAATGCTTGTTATAAACAATCAATTTACATTGCGGCTGGACTGATTATTATTTAGAAAACCCTCCCAAAGCAAATTGGGAAGAAAAAGAAGAAAAACTTTCTGAAGGAGATCAAAATTACTACGTCAGCAACTGCATATTTGATGACCATATTACAAGTGGTGCCATACGTTTTGATACATCTCAAGAAACAACCAAACTCTTAATTGACACCACCAAATTCACAAATTGTAGTAATTCAGGAAATGGAGGATGTTTATACTTCTCCAGTGAAGGTGAATGTGTCCAAGATCGAATAATAAGTGACTCTTCCAAATTAACATTAAATTATTCTGGAGTTTATTGTTTATCATATGTTTCAGACAAAGATTCATTCCAAAACAAAATTCTTTCATCTTCAATCACTAAAAGTGGAAGAGAAAGTTTCATCGGATGGTATAATATTTACCTACATAACGGAAAAATTAATTTTTCAAATTCAAATATTTCTCATGCAAAAGTTTATGGAAGAAGTATTTTTGGATTTCTAGATTTTAAATCAGAATCAAAAGTTTTATTTTCAATATTTTTTGATAATAAACATAATACTCAAACTAGTTTTCCCCCTGCTTTTCTTTATTCATCATCAAGATCAATAATTAGTTTCGAATCAACAAATTTCCAAAATATTACTGATTACGTTTTAATTTATACATCGGATGTACTACTATTTTTAAAATGTTGTTGTTTATCAAATAACAACATTTCTCAGAATTATTTCTATGCAGAAACTGGAAGCACAATCATAGTTGATAATTGTTTCATTGATGTAGAAAATCCAACAACAGCAGGATCAGTTGAAATCATAAACTTAATAAAATCATTATCTAACAATGATTATTGTAAGTACTTCATCATTGGAAAAGAAAATCATATTTCAGATATTGATGAAAAACCAAAATATATTAATTTTTCTCTTTTATCTTGTAATTTAATAAACATTTCTTTTACAGTTTGAAGAAATATTGTTATATTCCTCATATAATTTATCATCACCAAATCAGAATTTACCAAATATTCTTCATTTCATCTTTTTTGTCTGAACAAAGAATATCCGGCAACTTTCAAAATATTGTTTATGGTATAAGCTAATTTTAAAGGATTACTTACCACTTTCTGACATTCACTCAAAATGTCCAATACAGATCTGAAGAGACACATAAAATAAAACTGTTGTTAGGAAATGTGAAAGAATATCATAAAATAATAATTACACCCTTAAACACATAACTCTTTAAATATATTATTAAAATTCTATTACGATTATTCGAAAAATATAATCGTATTTGATTTCAATCTCAAATATTCATGACCAATTATATCAAATTCATGACATTTTTTGCGGGAAAATTATTATCATGAATTAGCTAACTCATTCAAAATTCATATAAAGGGCGCACTGTAAGCTGTTTGATACTCGCACTTTTCACCTTGGTTTCGATATATCTTTCTATGATTTTTATGGATATGTAAGGATGTCGCTTGGGGGACATTTGGGGACTCGACCAAATAATTTTCGAACTCTGGGGAACATGTAAAGCGTCAAAAATGATTTGTAAAGTGTCAAAAATATAAATGTATAACTCTTTAATCATGACTTAGGCTGTTCATATTTTAATGAAAATGATATATCTAAGCCAATTTTGAAAAATGCAATTTATAATTTATGCATTAATTATGTATTGTTTTTATAAATCTTAATAATGTATACTGATATTTACTATTCGCTTTAGTTTTTCATCTGATTCAAAAATTAAATTTTGTAAATATTCAGGCTGAAAGCACCAATAACAGTAAATTGGGTTTGAATTCTGGAATAGAAACAACAGAGCCCCTTCCTGGCCTTTCATCGACTCTTCATAGAGCGTCACTTTTTGTTCCCCAATCCCCCATGGGGGACTGGGGGACATTCAAAATTGAATGTATATTTGGCCGCGTCCCCCATGGGGGATTGGGGGATTGGTGGAAATTTATTTTCCTGATTTTATTAATGATTAATATATTACCTTTAACAAAAATCAAAATCATGTCATTACAAAGCTCATAGAGCTAAAATTTAAGAAAAATTAAATATCAATTCTCTGAAAATGCAAGAAAATTCAACAAAAACTAGATAAATGTATTTTAAATATTAACGAGGTGCTGTATATATTATAATATTTGAACTTCAGTAATCAATAATTATTTTGACACTTTACAAATAGACTCTGACTTCATCAAACAAAGCTTCTCAATTTTTGTTCCCCAGCGTCCCCCACTTGGGGGACGCAATCAACCCCCGGGGGGACAAAACGACATCCTTAGGATATGATAATATAACATTGAGAATTAAAACCATTTTTTGTCACATTGAAATTACATAAAAATTTCAACTTGACTTTATTTTGACATCAATGAATATCATAAATAAATAAGGTAGAATAATAAGAATAAAAAAAGGTAGTGGGGCTTCCAGGCGCGTTGCGCCCTCTAGCCCCGAAGATGTTTGGTATAAATGAAGTTTTTATTCGGAAAATTGTTAGTCTTCTGGGTCGAAAACATTATATAATGTGTCACTTTTCACAAATTATATATGTTTTCATGTTTTGTCACTTTTCTGTCACTTTTTGGGTAAAAACATTTTTATTATTATATATAAATGAATTTTACAAAACCGCCGTTACCGTTCTTTGGAAATAAGAGTAGATGTAAAGATATTATATTGAGAGAACTTAAGAAACTACCGAATGGTCTAACATTTGTAGATTTGTTCGGTGGAAGTTTCTATATATCCCATTTATGTCATACAATATTCCCAGACTCAAAGATTATATGCAATGACTTCGACAACTATATGGACCGTCTCAAACATATACCAGACACAAACAATATATTGAAAGAGTTAAAAGAAAAGATACCTATAGGTAAGATGGAACGTATACCATTAGATAAGAAAAATATTGTGAGAGAGGTTTTGAAAAAAGCAGAATATATAGACTGGGATAGTATATCTGCTAGACTATTATATAGTGGTTCTATAAGAGTTCATGACATTGAAACACTTATGTCAAAAGTTTTATATCTTAACTATACAAATGTTTTCAAAGAGAACATAGAAAAATATATTGAGGGTATAGAGTTTGTGAGATGTTATTGGACAGAGTTGTATGAAAAATATAAAGACAAGGAAAATGTTTTCTTTATAGTGGACCCGCCGTTCTATAACACATGGGATTTTCAATACCAAGTAGACTGGACTTTGAGAGACTCTTTAGAAACTTTAGACGTTATACATAACCATCCATGCTTTTACTTTACATCCGATAAAAGTGGTTTGGAAACCATTATGAGATGGTTAGAGGACATACATGACTATGAGTTTATATATGACAAGATAGAATATGAGAGAGGTCCTATAAACCGGAGAAAGTGTCACAATAAAGAAATTTTATTAGTAAGTAAATGTGGTTTGAAATAGGACTACTTGTTTTAGGTTTTTTCCATTGTGTCATTTATTTATTTGACGTGGCAGAAAAGTACAGAGAATATGAAGATGAACCAATGCCTGCAAATGTTCAGCATATGTACTCGTAAGAGATATTTTTATCTAATATTAAATGGACGCACAGAACTTAGCGAATGCACAGCAACCTGGACAACCAAACCCAGAGAATATTCCAAATGAAGTTAGAATACAAACTGCAATGGCAAACTATGGTCAAGTGCCAACAGATGTACAAATGCAAACTGCCATGTCAAATGACGCTGCGTTAGGTTTGCCACCATGGTATGCAAATATGAGATGGAAAGAGTTTTATACAAACCCTGAAGTGGGATATAAACAACTTTATGCAGATGACGCGAACACAGGAGTTGACCCAGAATATGTTTTCTACCAGAGGAGAAACAGAATGTATGAGCTCCAGTTAAAGAATGCTATGGAACTCAACAGGAAACGTAAGAGACTAGGCGGACATTTGATTTTTACTACTAGTAAAATGGGTTTCTTCAGTAGTATTGGAAACTTCTTCAGAAGAGTTGGAAGAGGTATATGGAATGGAATAAAATCTGTCGGAAAAGGAATTTGGAACGGTGTCAAAAATATTGGTAAAAGAGTAGGTCAGTTTGTTGGTATTATACCTAAAGACCCTGAACCAGAAGAACAAGCTCCTGTTATACAACAGCCTGAACCTGCACCACAGTCTAGTTGGCAACCAAATCCAACACCTCAACCGTATTAAAAAATTATATTTTTACCGTTCGATAGTAGTTGTATATGAAACTAAGTTCTAAGTAAAACGCATGGTATAATGGAATTATTCTTTTTCTTCCATCTGTAGTAAACCATACTTGAAAGTCTGAAATACTTCCACTTGGTGGTTCGTATAACTTTGTAGGTTTTTCGTAAAAGTCATTTGCCAAGCATAAGAAAGAGTTTTGGGCGCCAGAAAATGAAGCATGAACAATAATAGCATCTTGGTCGAAAATATTTTCATATGTTCCATTAGGGTTTTCGACTTCATAATAGTCCGGGTGTACTGGATATGCTGCAGGCTGATTTAACATCCTCATAAATCTATACCATGCCAAGTTGTTATATTTTGTAGAAATATAAACGTTTTCTCCAAGGTCTTCTATTTTATTGATTTTAACAGTTGCATTTTTCCTGTCATAAATAATATCGAGATGGTATTCTCCTTCGTCAATGTTATACTGGTTTGCATATTCAATATAGATATCGTTTATTTTTTCTTGAAAAGCTTGAAGAGTTGTTTCTAAATTTATAAGCAAACTAACTTGTAAAAGTTTTCCCTGTTCAAATTTCTCATACATACGTTTTTCTTTGTTATAGTATCGAACTTCAAAACCGACCGTAAATGGGAAACCATGTATGGCTTCTGAAATGAACTTCATTCTACGAAAGCCAATAGCTTTTGTGACGGATGGGTCTCTTAACCATCTTAATGGGTAGTCAAAACGATAGCCTTCATGCTTTACGGTATCTGTCTCAAACTTTTGACCGACATTAGTAAAAAGTTCATCTAATGGTTTAGTTGTAGCAACTCTAGAATTTTCTTTTTCTATTGGAAGCATATTTTATCTATAATAAAAATGTCAAATGAAACAGCGTCTATGAGAGAAATACAACACAACCGACAACTCATTATGCAAGCTCTAAATAAGAACACAACAAACTTTTCAAACTATTCTAAGATATCTGAGTCATTGAAGGATGGAAACTTAAACTGACATTAAACCCAATGACAGATGAGTTTCTGTTTCAAGACAATAAGAACCATACTGTCTGTATAAATCCAACAAAAGGAACTTTAAACGAGAAACCTATAAATGAACTTCTTTTGAAAGCAGATGTTGACAACAAAGCTGACAAAGAATATGTAGACGATGCAATAGCAAAAGAAGAAGAAAGAGCTAACAATGCTTATGCAACAAAAGAACATACTCATCCTGAACTAGCAGACAAAACATATGTTGACAATAAAATGTCAAGTGAAGTGACAAGAGCTGAAAACGAATATTCTAAAAAGACTCATATACATTATATTAACCAAATACCAAGTCTTAAGGAAACATTAGAGACAAAAGCAGATAAGACTCATACACATTCTATATCTGATATTACAAACTTACAAGAAACCTTAAACAGGAAAAGTGACGTTGGACATACACATTCTATATCTGATATTACAAACTTACAAGAAACCTTAAACAGGAAAAGTGACGTTGGACATACACATACCATTGCAAATATTACAAACTTACAAGAAACCTTAAACAGGAAAAGTGACGTTGGACATACACATACATCTTCTGAAATAACAGACTTAAACGTTAGCCTTGAAAATAAAGCAGATAAAACATATGTCAATGAAATATACCAAAGTTTGATAGGAACAAAAAATATTGAAACTATTGTTGGTGACTTTTCTGTCAATGAAGAAAATAAATATTTTAGATGGCAGTTGGTACAGTCCTTAGAAAATGGTACACGGTATAAACTCATTCCGAAAAATAACAATGAAATGTATGTAAGCTATAAAAAGAATGATGGTACACAAGTTAAAGTTCCATTAGACAACAACTGCTACTTAAACTTATATGGAGACGAACAAAAGAAATATTTAAGAGTTTATGAAATGGCAGATATGACATTGCCTGACCCAGCTCCAGCACCACATTATTATGACTATGGAGATGACGACAGAACACCACATGTAGATGAACAAAAGCTAACATTATATTTAGATTATTATAGATATAAAAGATATAATGCAATAGAAAAAACGAGAATAGTATATTATTATACAGATGACAGAAATAAATATTATAGTCAAGATTTTACCTACCCTGAAAACATAAGATTATATTATAAAAAATATTCTGACACAAACCAGAAGAAACCTGAAATAGTTGCACTATATTTTAAGTTCAAAAGAGACAATCCTATAATATCTCATATGTTTGATTTAATGAACCCAGTAGGTTCTATTTATACATCTATGGAAGCAAGAGGTCCTCAAGTAATGTTTGGTGTTGGTGCATGGGAACAAATAGTCGACAGGTTTTTGTATTGTGCAAACTCTTCAAAGGAAACAGGTGGAAGTAAAACGATTTCAGGTGAAAATTTACCTGCACACAGTCACTACATAGATTTAAGTACATCTCAAGCAGGTTGGCATAAGCATAGATATTGGGATTGGTCAGGAATGACAAAAGGTAAAGGATATGATGTTAAAGACGAGGTTAAGTTTGCTATAAATTGTTACTGGAGTGACACTCAGGGAGAAGGAAACCATACACATTTCGTTTCAGGATATACGCAAACAACGGGACAAAGTAAAGAATACATGCACCTTACATGACAGTTTACGCATGGTATAGAATTGCTTAGTCGTCATTTTCAACTTCTTTAGCATATTCGTCAGGAGTTGTCTTATATTTGTTAGGAACTGTCTTTTGAAAGTATACCACCTTGAACTTTGACAAGTTTGAAACGAGGTCTGGCAATAGTAGTTTTATCTTCTGCTTGCAGTGTGTACATTTTGCCATGTTTGCCTAAAACTTCATAATATTCTCTTGTATACTTTCTTCTATTTTTACGAACACGAATGTGAGTACCTGTCGGGTTCCCATTGTTGTCATAGTCAATAGTATTTTCATATGGGTCGCGTTTAGGTATTTCTATTTTTACTTTGTCACCTTTCTGAAGTTTGAAGCCCGGCATTCTTTCTTGTTTGTCTCTTTTGACTAAATTATTAAATATATAGTCTTTCTCTAAGTCAGGGTTGTTTTTCATTTCTTCGGGGGAGTGGTTTCCCAAACCTTTTTGTTTACGGTTATTGTAAATATTTAAAATTGTCTCATCTTTGCCATGGAGAAGTGTCTATACTTGTCGTCATATGACATTTCATTTGCTTCACCACCTTGTGGTTGGTTTAAGTCTCTTAACATTTTTATACATCCGTCAATGACACCAAGAGCAGAATGGTTTTGGTCGACAATGAAATATTGGTTTACATTTTTTGAACGCAGATAGTTTTTTACATCATCTGATTTGAAAGAACTTTTACAGTCAGATGTCAGTTTTGTTGGATGGTATTTGTCAACGAATATTGTCAAAGCAGTTTTCACATCTAAAATATTTTTGGACCATAATGGTATGGCTTCACAGTATCTTGTGTTTTGACCAAAAATATTAACCAGTATGGAGGTCCATCTGTTCTAACTCTCGGAATGTTTTCCAAGATATCCATAAACCAAGCATTTGGTGTTGAACTAAAGATTTTTATCATGAGTGCTTTCTTTGTCGCTTTAGAAACATAGGGGTCCTTGTTTGGATTCGTCATTTTTTTACCCTATAAGAAATGGGTTTATTTGGCGCATTAGCAGGAGTTGCATCTAGATTTTTACCCGCAGTGGGAACAATAGCCAGAGGTGCATTTGGAATTGGAAAGAAGATTTTGAGTACATTAGGTATACTGAAAGAGAAAGCACAACCTATTATACAAACTGTACAGAAAGGTTGGGATGTAGCACGAGATGCAACAAATCTTATTCCAAATCCTGAAACAAGAGGAAAAGTTCAAGGATGGATGGACAATGTAGGAAGACAAGCAGGAAACTATTATAACAAAGCAAATGACTACTATAACCAAGCAGGACACTATAATGGACCAAGGTGAAAGATTCTTTAACAGAGGATATAACCATGCACAACAGTGGGTAAACAATAACCAACCTCAACCGCCTCAAACGTGGGGAATGTAAAGTTTTTTATTGAGATGAAATGAACAATGCAGCATTGAGACAAATGAGTTCAAGATGGATTTGTCGGCTTCCAGCATTTACACCACGTGTTTGTAAAGTTCTTCCTATACCTCAGGAAGTTTTAGACCGACTTAAAAAACCTAAACAACCAGTTGAAACAAACCAAACTAAAATTTTTACTGAGATGAAATGAACAATGCAGCTTTAAACAGAATAAGTCATGGAAGACCACCTTTTACACCACGGTTTGTAAAGTTCTTCCTATACCTCAGGAAGTTTTAGACCGACTTAAAAAACCTAAACAACCAGTTGAAAACAAACCAAACTCAAATTTTTTACTGAGATGAAATGACCGAAGAAGTTGAAACGGTAGATTTGACACCACAAACAAAAAGTTCAGAACCATTGTCAAACCTGTCAAAGAACTTACAGATGAAGAGAAAAAATTCAATAATAGAAAGTGCCAGGTCTGGAAATACAAACCCCAACTATAAAGTCACTTTTCATAGAAATGGAACGGCTAGTATCTCAAAAAAGAAACAGACTCTCACAAATAAAATATTGAAGTCTGAAGGAGCTTTCGAGACAACAGATGGAAAAGTTTACTTCACTGACCAACAGTTCATTATAGAACATCTCATTGACTTAGAGTCGAAATATTCTAAACTTTACAACAAACACAAAAAAGTTGAAAGGAAAACAAAAACAAATGGCATATGATATTTATGAAGATGTTGACGACACAACTGTTCCTGCAAGTGAAGTAAAGTCAGAGGAACCGAAAAGTGACGAAAAACCGATAGAAGAAGAAAAACCAAAAAACTGAAGATAAACCAAAACCAAAGTTTAGTTTCCAAACTAAACCAAGTCAACCTTCATTAGCTGGTATGGGTTGGCGTCAAAGACTTATGGCAGCAGGCGGTTATGTAAAGTAAAGAAAAAAATATTTTTTTATTTTTATAAAAATGCCCCCATATAGAATGGATAGAAAGTCTGCTAGAATAAAAGCAGATTGCAAAGATATGGTTGGAGAGTTTCGAAGAATTTTAAATATAGGAAGGGAAGACCCATAAAAGTCTATGACAAATTGTCTGGTCTTCGCTACGAAATGGATTTGGAAACAGCACGTGCCAATTATCCAAACAGACTAGAGAGGTTAGAAGAAGAACGTCTTATGGACATGCCTTTCGATGTTAGTGAACCTCAAGTTGAAGGACACGACGGCTTTGCCAGATTCTACTGGAAACATGACGAACAATTGCATCCTTGAGAAGGAAAAAAGGAAAAGGTGAAGACGCACATGCTCCCATGGAAAGAACAAGATATGCATATGAAAAGTATCGTGAAGTTAGAAGTCAAATTACATCTGGTCGAACCTTTACAGTAAACTTTGACGAAGGAAAGAACAAAGAAGCTTCATGGGTGTACTTGCTGCCATACAAGACGGAAATAAGAAAGGACACAATCTCAGAATTGACCATAACAGATTTGGATGGTCACATTTACTATGCACATGGCAATGAACAAACAGCCGCAAAACTTCTTGACGCTTTCAAGACTACAAAGAGAGAACAAATGGTTGACTCCGACTCAGACATTTTGAATGCAATTGAAGGAATTGCAAGTGTCAAGTTCGAATGGTACCAACCTAACCCTCAAGCAGTCAGAACAACTGCTGGATACTTCCCGTTCATAAATAAGTCTGACATTGACTTGACAAGGTATGGAATTTACAATTCAATTGAAACAATTGTCAACGAACCTTGCATTCTTACATGTCTCAGAACTCTGGTCTTGTTACAGATGAGAAGATGAAGTATCTTGAGTCATGTGTGAAGACAAGGTACATTCTCAGAGGTCAATTGGCAAAAATTGCACCGTTGGCAAATGTCAATATCCGAGTCAACATACCTACAGCTAAAGGTTCTTCACATGACGACTATGTTGTTGACAAAGACTTACCATGGTTGAAGATTGTAATTGTCCACAACCACTTCATGTTGAACGAAAGTCTTACAAACCCATTCTTTTGGTAAAAGTAAGTGCAACATTGTCAGAAGCTGTAAACATTCTTTTCGAGAAAGGTTTGTTGGAACCAATTCCAGATGACAAGCTGACAGAAACTTTTGTACCAAAAGACGAAACAAACTTTTCATTGTTAGCAAGACCAAAAGTTGTTCCAGACAAAGTTCTAGTACAAAAGAAGTACACAGTTCCACAAGGAGTTGGTATGTTCGGATACCAACCTGAACCAGAAGAACTTCCAATGAGGTTGAAAGAACTTCAAGATGCTAAAACAAACTTCCATTGAGACATCCAATTGACGTCAAATTGTATTGGAGAGCATCTGAGTTAGGTCAGAAGGTTTTTATGAAACAGGTTGCTTCGACGATGTTTATGAGATAACAGGAGAAGTTTCTCAGAAGATAAGAGACTCACTTGAATTTCCACAAACTGGACCAATTGGTTGCGACAAGTTCGACTCAGATGAAAAGATATACTATGTCGACCTTAACGCTGCATACATGAGGTTTGTCCAATATATTCCGACTGGAATTCCAAACGAAGATGGTGAGTTCCCGGGAAGGAACTATACAGTTGGAAAAAGTCATACAACAACTGTATGATATTAGGAAAGCTTCAAACCCCAAACTTACAATGACACTCAAATTGCTTATGAATTCGACATGGGGATATTCCATTAAGAAACCTCAAGAGATGAAGAGTAAACATTATGAGAAGGTCGACAACTTTGTTGAAAGGTTTTCTCCTTTTGTTTTGAAGTACGAATTCACTCAAGGTCAAAGTGGCTTAGTAACCACATTAAAACCTATTGTCGAACATTGGTCTTACCCTCAGTTCGCAAAGGCAGTACTTGACAACTACAACAAATTCTTCTCCGAAGTCAAATCCAAAGTGAAGGTTTACTATGAGAACATTGACGCACTCATGACGAACGAAGAAGGCTATAACAAACTCATTGAAATGGGAATGGTCGGTGAAAAGATGGGCTGTTTTAAGCTAGATAAGGTATTTTCCGAAGTTCATGTCCTCTCCAAGCGTAAGTATTGGGGCATACTTGAAGACGGCACAGAAATAAAACATTGCATGAAATAAAAAATTTATTTTTTAAAAAGTGACATTTTTAAATTTTATTTGAACTGTACGCTGAGTTTGTTGGAGAAGACCGTTGGGAAACTTGTTTGTTAGATGAGAAATATGAAATGGCATACCATTTTAAAACAATATATTTTTACATATATTAAATGCTTCAGGTTGAAAAACAAAGAACAAAAGTAGCAGATACAAAACCGTTAGACTATATCTTTACAAATGCTGGTAGGACTATTTCAGATGAAGAAATTTCATCCCGAGCATACAGGTTTGACTATCCAATTCGTTGCTTCAAAGTCCTTCAGATGCAAAGGCAATAGGATTTAAAGAGTTTTGTTTTCAAATAGAACTAACGCATTTATGTTC